TTGCAGGTGAAGGAACGCAAAGCCTTGAGCCATCCCACTGCTACCCAAGGCCTCAAGCAGTAGTCTGGATTGGAAGTTGAACAGCTGAGACATGATGTAGTGACCATATTGCAATGCCTGTACCACCGGTGGAGGCATAGCCTATTATGTCATGGTACTGGCCAGTTGTTACATGTCATTTGAAGTGACAATTATTCAGTTAATTAGTGGCAGTATTGTGACTAGAACGTATGGAGGTACTTCAGAAAGTTCATGGAAATAAAATTAAAAGGCTTATTTGATACCAAAAAAATGTAAAACCCAAGCATAGTTGTTCTATAACACACATTTTTCACATATTTTTTGAGGGCATATTGTATACATGGGTTCCATTTTTTTTTTTACAGTAAAGTAAATTTGTCTTTGAATTCCATTTGTCTTCTAACATTTTATAGCTCTCTCCTATAGACTGGAGCTTGGCTGATTTTTACTTTTCAATGGAGGTGATTTTTGGTCTCCTGCTCGGTTCATCTCTTTGACATTACTCTCTCCTCTGACCACCCTGAATCATCTTCCAGGTTGAAATTCTCTCTTCCTTCTTTCCAGTGTGCACCCCTCCTCTGGTGCTTCTCCTTTTTCTCTTGATCTTGACAGTACCCATTATTAATCTCTCATGTATGTCCCCTTGCTCTCCTTGAGCTCTGCTTTCCCCAAGCCAGGCTTTCTCGTAGTGAACACTCTCCTTGAGCATGTCGTTGGGATCTAACATGTGACAGTAGGTTTCCTCCATGAATGTGCCTTTTGTGAATTGAACTTCTATTTTCTTTCTATACATGGTCTCTGGCTTCTGTCAAAACAGAGAGTCAGGAACTTTATTTGGCTGGATCTACCATGTGGGTGGCAGGTATCTATGACATAAGCCGTCACCTCTGCCTCCTAGGGTCTGCATTGGCAGAAAGATGGATTCAGGATCTGAAAGTGGAGTCATGTACTCCACCTGGGGACTGATGGGGGATGCAGACTCCTTCACTGGTAAGGCAACCACCTGCTCTGGTGTGGTGATCTTTCATAGCACCATCTTGTTGATTTTATGAATTATAACAATTTGACACTAATGTTCTCAAGTTACCTACAAATGATATGACCCTTTCCCAATTTTAATTTCTGCATTGTATTGTTTATTTTTTCTTAAGTAATGAAAGCACTGGGCATCTTTATTTTGCTTATAACCTTAGGAAGCTTTCAAAATTTTACAATTAAGTAAGATGTTTAATTGTATTTCTTGTAGGCTGCTTTACCAAACTGTGGAACTTTCTTTTACTAATAATATACTATGAGTTTTATAATGAATGGAAATGAAACTTTATTAAATAATTCTTGTGCATCTATTCAGATCATCATATGTATTTTCTCCTTTAATCTAACTAATAGTATGTAACATAGTCTTAAAAATTTTAAGGTTACATAGGAATATACTCACTTCCTAAAATGAAAGGGTTACAGTTTGTGAGAAAATTGGGAACATGATCAAAAGACAAAAATCTTAGTTAAAGGAAATAAATTCAGGAGATCTGTATACTATGATGATCACAGTAAATAACATTGCATTTTCTATTTGGAAATTGTTGGAAATTTTCTATTTGGAAATTGTTGAGATTAGATTTGAAGTCTTCAGTCCACAAAAATGTGAGGGAATTCAAATGTTAAGTATTCTGATCTAGCCATCCAATAATATGCACCTAGCCAAAAGTCATGTTGCGTGCCATTAATATATGCAAATTTTAATTGTCCAATAAGCTCAGTGAAAAAAGCAAACATTAAAAAATGAAATAATTACAGATAATATTATTTCTTTAGATCAGTGTTCCTGATTTTATTATTTCATTTTTTAGGATTTATTTATTTTTCTTTGAAAGGTAGATGTTTACAGAAAAAGAAGGAAATATATAAAGAGAAGGTTTTCCCTTTGCTGGTTCACTCACCAGATGGCTGCAGTGGCCAGAGCTGAGCTGATCCAAGTTGGGAGCCAGGAGCTTCTTCTGGGTCTCTTACATGGGTGCAGGGGCCCAAGACTTTGGGCCATCTTCCATTGCTTTCCCAGCAGAGAGCTGGATGGGAAATGGAACAGCTGGAATATGAACTGGTGTCCACATAGGATGCCAGTGCCAGTAGGTGGAAGATTAGCTTGCTGTGTCATTGTATCAGTCCTCCTGGTTTTATTTCTTAATCATTCATTCGAAAGGCATGAAGTGACAGAGACAAGGATATTGTCCATCTGCTGATTTACTCCCCAGATGCTTACAGTAGATGGTGCTACTGTGGAAGCCAGTAACTCCACCATGCACCTGAGCCACCAGTATTAGTGTACAACCCAATAGCCAATAATCAGTGTATGTTTTAATAATTCAGTAGAATGTGTATACTGTCATTGTTTTAGGTGTGTTTTTACATGCACACTTTTGTAATAAACCTTTTAATATGTGGAAGCAGCATGCTACAAAACAATAAAAGTATACTAAACATATAAGCTCACAACATAATTGTTAATAATATCAAGTATTATATTTTGTATCTATTGTGTGAACTTTCATAAAAGTCACAATAGATTTATCACAAGTATCACCACAAATGATTACAGCATTGTACTGCAACATTGTAACATCTACAAGAATTCTCCTGCTCCTCTATTGTTTTATGAGATTGCTATTGCATACGATGTTATTGACTAAATATGATTATATGTGGCACCAAATCAATCTTTTTTATTCAAATGTATTTTGATAATACATCCTTATTTTTCATTAATTTTCAAATGTTTGATACTTTCCAATGTATACATCACATGTCATTTATTTGTTTTAGTTATGTATTCATGAATTGACATCTATTTTGCTACCACAAACAATGCTGAAAGGAACAATGTTGCAGATGTCTTCTAGCTTGTGTGTGTCTGGATGTTTTTCTATGGAAAAACATTAACTTTTTAAAAAATATGAATGGTATTGAATGTAATTTAATGCTTTAAATAATTCTAGTTTCCAAGGTGGCTTAAGAAGAAATTCATGAATAGATGTCAGATGTCAGTACATACTCTTTATGCTCTACTACAATGACCATATGATTTCTCTTTTAATTCTTTTGGTGAATTATAATAATTTTGCAATATGGAAATATCTTTGCATTCATGTGATAACGAAACTGATTCATGATTAACTTAAAACATACTTGATATTTTATATAAAAATTGTCAATCTGTGTTTATAAGTAATTAAATCATAGCTTTTATTTTCTGCTTCAGACATGATAACAGGGTTTTGCAAGTTTTATAAAATACACTGGTCATTTTTACATCTTTTTTATGCTATGGAACCATGCATACAACACAGAAATAATATATTACTTCAACTCTGGTAGAATTTGTTCTTTTTAAATTAGTACTTATAAGTATTCTTGATACTTTACTTTTAAAGGTTTATCAGATAAAGTATTTGTACAATAGATGTATTTAAATCTTGTACTCTAATAAGAAATTGTCAACATTTTTCATAGTTCTAATAATATTCCACTTAGGTTATATTTTTGAAGACATGGTCTTTACCTAACCATACAATTCTTCTATTGATTCTTTTAGTAATACGTCTATGTTGTTTTCCTTTGATTGCTATTTAACGCAGGCTTTCTGTGTTACTGTATGAGTTTGTTTGGTCTTAGTTAATAACTGCACTTTGTTTTTAGTCCTAGTTGTCTTTTTCATTTCATGGGTAAAATTAACCCACTTACATTTATTGTAAATACTAATGTTTGAACTTATTCCCTCATTTTGTCTACTTTTTAAAGTCATGCTTGCTTCTACAGTTGGTTCTGGACTTGGGATGGCATCACTTAGTTTCTTTTGACTTTACTATGGTGCAAAAGTGATACACGTTCAGTAGGAATGGTACTTGGGACTTTGGTCTTTTGGGGGACTGGTTATATTTGTTAGGATTCTTCCTCTGATGTTGGGCATCAACAGCAGCTAGGTCTGTGGCGAGATAACGAGGGTAAAAACTGACTTTATGTTGTACTATCCTCCTACGGTATTAACACTTGACCATTAGCTGTGCTGTATATAATGCCTTTTCAAGTTCTATTTTCAAATTATGAACTTATCAAAATGTTACCCTAATGTAAATCAAGAAGCATCTGTTGTTTCTTTTGCTCTTCTTTTATTGGACTAATTTCTTTATTCCATTCCTCTCCCCTTTTAGCATGCAAATTTTTGTTAACTTCATTCCAACTTTTGTTATTCTTAACTTAAAAAACTTAAGGGTCACTCACTGAAAACATATTTAAAATCAATACCTGGAGTCAATTTGCATCTGATCACTCAAATACCTTTCTGAACCTTTTGAGTCCTTGTTTTCTTGTACTCGGAAACATAGGTTTTCCATTGTCTTAAGATTAAATGTGATGCCATGTAAAGCACCAGCTTTTATTAAGAGATTTTCAATTCCTCTATTTTTTCTTCTTCAATTAAGGGGAAAAAATCCCCAGGTTCAAAGACTACAATCCATTTTTCAAATTTCCTTTGTCCTTCAAAGTCACTTCCATTTTCCAATGTTGTGTTAACTATGGCCTTCACTTACTCTTTGAATGTTTTGGAAACCTCAGTATCTTCTTATCTCCTCCTCATACCAAAAAAAAACCCACATTCCATTGTACGCTGTCCTCAACGTCCTCTCGCCCTCTCTCCCCGTGGATTTCAAGAACGAACGTCATTTCCCAGGGACTCCATGCCTTGCTTCATCTATCCTTCAAAATGGCGGCTTCAGACGTTTCCGATGAGCACCACGTGCGCCTGCGCCTCCCGCGGCCATTTCCCCCAGCAGCCCCAGCTCCGGCCTGGGCTCCGCGAGGCGCCTGCGCACCAGCCTCCCAGGCGCCGTGGCTCCGCCCTCCGACTGAGTACGCCTGAAACCGCACGTTCTCTTCCCTGCCCTCCCCCGCCGACGCCGCACCGCCCTCGGCCCTTTCCTGTGAGATTCTTCCGCCGAGTGGAACCTGCCTCTCGCCTCGACAGTCCCGCGCCCTTGAGCCATCCCCGCAGGCAGTTACAGCTCGGGGCCTGGCCATTCCATCCGATGTGTGCGCCACAGCCACTTTCCTCCGGGCCCCCAAGTTGAGCAGCCATTTCGTGGGACTCTTTCGCGTGCCGTGAGGCCACAAACGGAAAGAATGGCCCTGCGGCGGAGGGATCTCTCGCTTACTCTGTGTACTTTACCCTAATGGGGGTCGCCCGGGAGTCGGCCGGGGGAGGGGAGAGGGAGGAGGCAAGCCCAGGAATTGTTTTTTTCTGTCGCCCCGCCCTCGCCGGGCCGGCCAATGGAGCCGAGCCGTCTTCCTTGGAGCCCCGCCCCGCTCTCTGGCCTTCGCCAATGAGCGGCGGCAGCGGCTCCGCGGGGGCGGGCCCGGGAGGCTGTGCGTGTCTTGTGAGAGCTCTTGAACCAAGTCAGAAGCGAGAGTCGGCTGGGGCGGCTGGAGACGACGGCCGCCGCCGGTGACTCAGGGAGGCGGGAGGCGGGGGAAGAGCGCCGCGGCCTCGGCTGCGCCGAGAGAAGGAAGGAAGAAAGGTGAAGGCACCGAGCCCGGGCCCCGGGGCGCTGCAGGCGGCGCAGGCCCGGACGCTGGGGGTCCCTGCCCCCCTCGCTGCCGGGGGGTTCGGCGGCAGCCGGGAAGCTCTGGGCTCGCCGGGACCGAGGCGGGGCGGGGCGGCCGGGCAAGTGCGGATTCGCGGGCCGCCCCGGGGCGGGGAGCCTGCCGCCCCGGGCTGCGCTGGGGGTGGGGGGCCCGGCCCTCTGCCCTACGGGGCCCTCCTCGGGGCTTCCGGGCCACTTGATTTTGCACTTGAGCCGCCCCTCCTGGTTGCCCTCGCTGCTTCTGCCTTCCTAGCCTGCAAGGTTTTCGGAAAAAGCGAAACTTGGGAGCGCTGGGGGTCACGCGGCGCCGGGGCCGCCGGGGCCGCCGGTGGCGGGGTGGGTGGGTGGGTGGGTGGAGGGGGTGGTGTCCGCAGCACCCGAGGGGTGTGAGTGTGTGTGGGGGGGTGGGTGCTAGGGGCCGCGCCACCCGCCCCGGCCGCCTCCGTTGCATGTTGTTTTTGTGTGTGTGTTTGCAGGGAGGCGCCCTTCCTGCAAGGCGTTGGAAACCATGGTGCTCACGCTCGGAGAAAGTTGGCCGGTATTGGTGGGCAAGCGATTCCTCAGTCTGGCGGCGGCCGACGGCGGCGGCGACGGCGCCCACGACAGCTGGGACGTGGAGCGCGTCGCCGAGTGGCCCTGGCTCTCCGGGACCATTCGCGCTGTCTCGCACAGCGATATTACCAAGAAGGATCTGAAGGTAAAAGCCTGCGCGCCCCCGGCTGGGGGGCTGGGGGCGGGGGCTTGGCCGCCGGACGGTTGGTCGTTACCGTGGTAACCGCGACCGGCAGGCATCCCACCCTCCCCCCCGCCCTCTTCTCGCTTGCCTTCCCTCCTCCCACCACCGCCCCCCGTTCGGAAACGGACCACCCCAAAGTTGGCATCCGATCTGAAGGTGCCAAGAAGTAGACCTTGAAAGTGTTTGGAATGGTTGTGTGGAGTGGAGGTGTGTGCTTGGCCTGGAGTTCCTGGCTGCGTGTGTTTAATCATGGGCTTGGGGTTGTTAAGACACGCCTCGTGAGAGCCCCACCAGGCCTGGCTTGGTTGACTCCCGTGGCAGGAGTGATTAGCCTGGGCTGGGGGGTGCCGTTGGGAGTTGAGGGTTGGTGACTGCAGGTGTTTGCACATGGGTTCTTGTTTGCTCCTCATTTCTTCGCCCAACTTTTCTCCCTCTGTGCCCCCATCTCCCAACTTTCAGACCTGTTAGTAATGTATGCATGAGGAGGGAGAGGTGGAGCTTCGTTGCGCCTGGCTATCAGGGTGGGTTTGTGTCCCTATATGGTGGGTCATGGCAGCAATGGGTTCCTGGTTGTCTGTGATGAGCTTGTTGGTGGGTGTGGAATGTGACCATATAAGGAGGGATGGGGTGGAGCCACCCCATATATGGTGTGTTGGAGGAATGGCTTGGAAATGCTGCACTTATGTGTGTTGGGGGGCGGTATGAGCGAGACAAATGGGAACAAGTGCACACAGTGATCTGTTAAGATCAGAATGACACATGGAGCCTTCTTTAGTTAAATGTTTTTCTTCCAAAGAGGGGTGAATCCTGAGCACACTTTTCTGGAAGTGTTGGTGTGAAAGGATTGTCTGGGAACGACCAGTGCGGAAGCCATTGTACCAACAAAGACTCCTTTGTGCAAAAATAACTGAAAAAAGATCCCTCCTGGAGACTCCCAAATGGTGATAACTTGTAGGAAGCTTGTCAGAACTGAAAAGACATTCCCCCTGACTCCTGGACGAGTCTCGCTATCTTCCCTTGCTTCCTCACCCTTGCTGTTTGTTGAGAACTGTGCTCAGAATAAGCGAGTTTCGGCATTGGCAGCTGAGTGGGTGTTGGTTTCTGAGACGGTGTTCACATGGACGTCTTCAGGGTGGCGGTGCATTCCCCAAGGCAGCTGTGTGGCTCTTAGTGTATTTTAAAGTTTCCACCGTGTGTCCTGACTTCATGTTAAGAAGTAGGTGCGACCCATGGGCATGTAGCCATGTGCCAGGCATCATGCCAAGCATGGTGATCACGGTAGTGATCGTATTTAATCCTTACAACAGTGCTTTGGCTGGAGGTACTAGTGTTGCTCCATTTTCCAGATGATGAAATATATCGTGACTAGGAAGATTTAAGCTTCTTGCCCAGTGGTTGCATACCCAGGAATTTTCTTAGCCTGTGTTCTGATCTAAGAAGTTTCACTCTGTAGTGTTTGTAATTATAAGCCACAGAAGGATTCTCAGTGTAAGCTTTGAGGTTTGGCTTTTCTCCTTCCACTCATGCTACCGAATCAGATTGTGATGTTTATAAAGAGAACACAGTTGGGCTGAGGTGGTCAACCTGTTTGCCTGAGGTGGATTTTCCTACAGAAAATGAACTTTGTCTACCAGGTTTCTTGTAGTTTATTTCACCTGATGAGTGAAATTTTCTCTACTGCATTTGTTTTTACATGATATGAATGGAACCAATAGTCTATTTAAACTTTACAGTCAAATAAAGTTTCTCCCATTTTTGGTGGATGGGAGGAAACCAGGTGTTCCCTTCCCCCACCTTTCCTATTAAGGTTAGAGGACCTGTTGGGTTAGGCAGGCACTTTAGGAGGTCCTTACATGTGTTCTTTCAAATTTCCATTCTGGAGAAGGATATCTTCATTTTTTTTCTTAATTATGATTTAACATGACATTCGTTAGTTGGGTAGCAGATGGCTTCGGTTTAGGGGCTAGATTGTATGTAACAAAAGTGGGATTTTAGAACCAAATTGTGTTGAGATGTAGGCAGGAACCAAGTAATTTGAATCGTGCTTCCACCTGGGCCTGGGGGTATTGAGGTTTTTGGAAGTGGGGATAGGGCTGAGGTCAGTGTGAAAGAAAAAATTCAAGTATCTTTGCAACGGTTCTAGTATTTGGTACAAACACAAGTCTTCGTGGATTGGCTTGCCAAGTGAGTTGTGGATGATAAAAGACCATGTTGAGGTAACTTTGTTTCACTTAAGAAGAAACTTTGTTTCACTTGGAGAAACTCTGTAACAAAGTTACTTAAATGACAAGACCAAATCTGTAGATTACAAAGCAGTTAAAGTGGAGCTGTAGTAACAATGATTGAATGGTTGTTATGTATCATGCAATTTATTTAATCCTCACAAGTGTTTTAGATGATAAAGTACAATATTTAGCGTCAGGAGCTGAAGTTCAAAAAAGGCAGATAACTTGCCATAGTTTGGAAACCTTACACATCCTCGTGGTAAAGTTGGAGCATATTATTTTGCCAGCTTCTGTATCTCTAGCATTTAAAACATGGCTTGGCATGTATTGTACTCAAATAGTTAAAGAATTAAATGAAAGAGTCAACATTTTTCACTATGGAGAAGCAGGTTTGAAAAATCTAGTGGGGCAGTGATATTCTCTACATCTATAATAAGCCGTAATTGGATTTGGTTATAAGAGCCTCTTTTAATCTTACTTTACATAATTAGGTATGCTGGGAGTGCTTGTCTTCCCTCACGGGTTTGACTGAGTCTTTCACTTCCTTCAAAACTCTCTCTTCCTCATGTCTCCGGTGCCTTCTCCGTCCTTGACTCGTTCTTGCAATCTCTAGGTACGGTTTCCTGCTGTTGTCAGCATTTAGGTGCCTTGAGCAAGGCCTAACTTTTTCATCCTTGAATACGCCTAGAACTTATGTGTTGGTGAATGGTGTATTACACCATTTGCCCCTTGCAATTGAATTTTATGCTCTAAGAATTTGCATAAGTGTTTGCGTGTAAGAAGACATAAGTAGGAACATAATTGATTAATATCTTAAATATGTTGTGTAGTGGAAAAGGTGGTATTCTGTGTTGTGGAGCTGGCCATAGAGTAGGTGTCCATTGAAAACTTCCTGACTTTAGAGGCTTAGAAATTAATATGCCAGCTGGGGCAGCCAAATCCCTCACACCGGAGTGCCTGGGTTCTAGACTTGCCTTTGGTCTTAATTCCAACTTCCTGCATACTACACGGTCAGACTAGCAAGAACCAGCACAGGTTGGCTAGAGACCTGGACTGGCTTTCCCACTCCCAGTCATGGGCACTGCAGGCCCTTGGGGAAAGAACCAGCAGATGGGAATTCTGTCTCCCTAAACCTGAAATAAAATACATTTTAAAAAGTTGAAACACACAAACACAATGTGTTGGCTGTAAACCGTGCTATTTTCTGTTTCTACCTTTAAACTTGGAAATATTTTCCTTGACCTTTCCAATAGTTTTCATAATTATCTACTTGGGTGATATGAGTATATGCTAAAAGGTGGGAGGCTTGGGAATCAGTATAGTAATTCACGTATCGTAAGGAAAATATAAGCCTCAAGTAAGTCAAGAGACTAAACATCTGATTGGAGTATTTGATGGGCTAACGTGGTGTACATTTGCAACATGCCCTACTGAAAGAATAGCAAATTTGGTTGTTTTAGATAGTGAATCATAGTTCTAATTGGCCTCTTTTTGGCCACTGGTGTTAATCAGTAAAAGTGACATCCCTGGGGCCTGTGTTGTGATGCAGTGGATTAAACCATTTCCTGTGATGCCAGCATTCCATTTGAGTGTTGGTTAAGAGTCCCAACTGCTTTGCTTCTAATCCAGTTCCTTGCTGGGAAAAACAGCACAAGATGGCCCAAATGCTTGAGCTCCTGCCACCCAAATGGGAGACCCAGATGGAATTCTTGGCTCCTAACCTCATCCTGGTTCTTTTAATTGTGGCCATTTGGGCTGTGAACCTGCAGATGGAGGATTTATCTCCTCCTCTCTACTCTGCATCTGTCTCTGTAACTCTAAAAAAAAAAAAAAAATCCTTGTGTGGGCCAAGGTAGCGTGGGGACAAGAGCATAATGGAAAGCTTGGGTGGTCTTGGTCAAATCACTAGTTCGCCCTGGGCTTGAATGTCATAAACATATGCAAAGAAGAGACTTTTGGAGGAGTGGGGTATGTCCTCAACTTTTGATGAAAGACATACATGATGCTTATTGGAAACTTTTAAAAGGAAGCTTATAACTAGTTACATTAAGCATTTTTAAGACACTTTGTAAAAGGTTTTTTTTTGTTTGAAAGGTAGTTAGAGCAGAGAAAGAGAATCGATCTTCCATCCATTGGTTCACTCCCCCAATGGCCCAGTGGCTGCAGTGGCCAAATTGAAGTGACCCAAAGCCAGGAGCCAAGAGCTTCTTCCAGGTCTCCAAGTGGTGAGGGTCCCAAGGCTTTGAGCCATCCTCCACTGCTTTCCCAGGAAATAAGCAGGGAGCTAGATTGGGAGTTTAGCATGGGGGACTCCGTCAGATCCACATAAGACACCAATGGTGCAGTTGGAGGATTAGCCTGTTGGATGCACTGTGCTAATCCTGCTTTTTAAAATTGTATTTTGTTTAAAAGTATTTTCCCATACCCAGCATGGTAGCCTAGTAGCTAAGTCCTCACACGTGCCAGAATCCCATATGGGCACCGATTCTAATCCCAGTGCCCCCTTTCCCATCCAGCTCTCTGCTTGTGGCCTGGGAAAAGAGTTGAGGATGGCCCAAAGCCTTGGGACCCTGCGCCTGTGTGGGAGATCAGAAGACAGTCCTGGCTCCTGGCCTCGGATTGGCTCAGCTCCAGCCATTGCGGCCATTTGGGGAGTGAAATCAATGGACAGAAGATCTTCCTCTCTGTCTCTTCCTCTCTGTATTTCTAACTTTCCAGTAATAATAAAATTTTAAAAACATTGAGTCCCACAAATATAAACATTTAAAAAATTAAAAAGTGCTTTCCTCCCACCTTGAGCTGAACTTTGTGGTACAGCCAATTAAGCTGCCGCTTGAGATGCCATCCTATCCTACCAGAATGCTGGTTGAGCCCTGACTGTTCCGCTTCTGATCCAGCTTCCTGCTGATGTGCCTGGGAAGCCGGTGGATCGTCTTCCACTTGAGCCCCTGCTACCCATGCCTAGCTGTTGTGGCCGTTTGAGGAGTGAACAAGGAGGATGGGAGAGCTTTCGCATTCACTCTGCCCTTCAGATCATGAATGAATTAATGTAGTTAATGAAAGTTAATGTGAATTTTTCATCAGTATAACGTAATATTTGATAGTTGTAAACTTGAGTTTCTGAGGAGCTAAGTGTTTTTCCACCTAAATGCAAACATTGGTTTAGTAAGCTTTAGATCAAGGTTTGGAAGTCACCTAGTCCGGCACTGTCAGACAGCCACAAATGGGACACGAGCAAGATTCGGTGAATCTATAGCGCAGTAATTTTTAAGCTGATAGCTTTGAATGGCTGGCCAATTTGGATTACAAATATCCAAATGGATCCTGGAAGGAGAAATGTTGCTTAAATTTTGGAAAACCCTGTAAGAGCTTGATCTCTCACTACTTTTAATATAGATAATACATAATCGTGTGCAAGACCCTCCTGTTTATAACTTTAAAAGTGAAATTCTTCTAATAAGGTTCATATATCTCTGGAATTATTAAAATTACCTCATGGCCTTGCTGGATACTTTTAAAATCTCCAGCAAATTCATGAGAGATATGTGTTAATTTTACCTTCATTTTGAAGCTAAGGAAGCAAGAGTCTGAGGGCTCAGACTTCAGGGGTTTTTTTGTTTTGTTTTTAAATTTTTATTGGAAAGTCAGATCTTCGGAGAGAAGGATCGCTTCTTGGCCTTTTGGCTAAGATCAAGTGTACAGAGAGGAGAGGCAGAGAGAAAGACCCTCCGTCTTCTGGCTCACTCTCCAAGTGGCAAGTGGCTGCAATGGCCAGGGGCTGATCTGAAACCAGGAGCCTGGAGCCTCTTCTGGGTCTCCCGCACAGGTGCAGGGTCCCAAGGCTTTGGGCCGTCCTCGACTGCCTTCCCAGAATGAGAAGCAGGGCTGCTGGGATTAGAACCGGTGCCCGTATGGGATCCTGGTGTGTGCAAGTCAAAAACTTTAGCCACTAGGCCACTGCACAGGGCCCCCGGTATTTGAGCACCGATAGGGGACTGTATGATAACCAAAAACCGACACAGATTTCGACATTAGAGTTTCCGTGTTGATCAGTTAACCACTATTAAATGGAAAGATAGCATAGGAGAGGAAGAGTGGAAAGGATTCTTGAATTGTGTTTTGACAGATGAGTGGAAGTGAACCAGCTAGTAAACTAACGGTTGAAAAGGGGACATGAGTGATGTCTGAAATCTGTGCACATTTGATAGATAACAGTTTCAGTTGTGGAAACTCCAAAAGAGAGACCTCTAGTTAAAAGGAAGAATTTTAGTGACCTTACATTGAGTATAGAGGAAGTTTTTTGTAATTGGTAAAATACCAAAAAAAAAGAAAAGGTTAAGAAGCTCCAGAATGAATGAAGATTCCCATACTCATAAAGAGTTAGGGTATTGGGTACATGACCTTCAAGTGGTTTTAAAATAGTTACTCTGGATCACTGCCAGAGACCTATTTTTGGGTCTGATTTTTTTTTTTTAATGTCAAAATATTTATGCAAGTGCTAACCATTGTAGCCTTAGAGTTAAACATTACTTTTGAGGCAGAAAATGTCAGAATTATTTGCAAAATTACATTTCAAAGACAGTTAAAAGTTAGAGGCACTTCTGGAAAACTTTGGTTCATTATTAAGTACTTGTTTGCTTATTTTTAGTGAATGACCAAGTTAGTTAGCCTCCCAGTTCTGACAAAGTTCCCAGTCTGTTCAGTTGAAAGGGATAGTGAGAATGCACCATAAATTAGGCCATTTGTTAAGTCCTAATTCAACCAGAGGAATTCAGAAGCAGGTGGTGGATTGTGGAGATGGGATCCATCTGATGCCCACATGCAAAGTCAATTAAGAAATACAATGCAGCATGCCAGGTGCTTCTTTGAGGTTTCAAATTTGTGCCGTGTAGTTCACGAAGTTCACTAATTAACATGTGCCAGTGCTTCTTGAGATGTGGATTCGTTTCTGGGCTTCCCAGAGGTTACTTTGGACATCTTTGACATCTTCACCTCGACGTTAGGGCACCAAAGCTTGGTCCTTGTTTGATTAATTTACCTTGGTCTGTGTAAAGTAAGAGACCTGAAATGGAACAGCACATTCAGATAAGAAGTTCAAGTAGAATCGTGTGTTACTCAGCTTGCTTTTTTTTTTTTTTCTTTACCATTTTATTTGTTTAGGTGTGTGTGGAGTTTGATGGAGAACCTTGGAGGAAGAGAAGATGGATTGAAGTCTACAGCCTTCTAAGGAGAGCGTTTTTAGTGGAACATAACTTGGTTTTAGCTGAACGAAAGTCACCTGAGATTTCTGAGCGAATTATTCAGTGGCCTGCAATAGTGAGTAAAGCTTAGGCTTTATTGAACTCATGAGAAAAGAACATTATGTCCATTGTAGCAAAGCAAGACAAAAGTTACATGTCATGTCTAATTTTGGCCCCTGTGTGTTGCTGTGGGAGAGTCAGAAGGGCACCTTGAGGGCAGGTGTTTATTGGTTAAGAAACCAGCATCCCACGTGAGAGTGCATAGGGTCAGTACTGAGTGCCACTGGCCAGTTCCAGTTGTCTAAGAGGTAACAGGTGGTGGCTTTAGGGGTTGGGTCCTGACTCCTTACATGGAGACCTGGACTGTGTTGTGGCTCTGACCAGGCCGTTACAGGCATTTAGGAGCGTGTTGGCATACACACACACATGTGTTTTAAAGACTGGGGAAGATCTGAGACCAGCCCTGCAATAACTGACCCTAACCCTTTGACTTTCTTGGGCCTAATTTTCTTCACCTGAAAACTGGGGATGGAGGTAATATGGGACATGTCTAGGTCAGAGACCAAACAGAAAACATCACAAACACACAAATCTGTTTGGTTTGGTCCTTGCAGTGTTTTAAGAATATTTGAATCAGTTATCTGCTTTTCAGCATTTGGAAAGTACCTCTAAAAATGTTGATTCCCACAATCTTCTGAAAACACTGCAAGATAGGGCAACCCTGGGGCCTCATGGAAGTTGCTTATGGAATCAATAGACTGGGGCTGCATAGTGCCTGTTGGCCCTAGTTGCCAGTCATGACCTGGCAGATTAGATTCCCTTTGGCTCTGTCAGACTGATGTGGTGGTTAGGAAGAGGGAGATCTCTGGATCTGGAAAGGCTAGGCATTGTGGGATCTGGGCTGGAGCCTCAAGGAGAAAGGGTCTGAGTAGAACAGGGGGAAGGCTTAGAGGATGAGCGAATGCTCCTTGTGAAGGGCCTTACATATGTTAAGGACCTTGCTGGCAATGTTAAGAGTTTAGCATGTTTGAGGAGAGCAGCTGGAAACTTTGAGTAATTGATGTAGGGTTGTGGGTTCAGTTAGTATTTTGCTATTTGCTTATTTTTTTCCTCACAGATGTTACAGATTTGCTTAAAATAGAGCCCTATCAAAAAAATACACATACATAACATTCTTTCTGTGTAAATTTTTTGAAAACTATGAATCTCTTATTAGACCTATATGCTAATTATTGCTGAACATGAGTTTAAGTTACTTGAATAAAAATTGTGTGATCTTTTGGTTACATATTTTTTCTGAGATGAAATTAACAAAAAAATTGTAATATCTCTCACTTTTGCTTGGAAGCTGTCAGTTCTTATTTTCAGAATTCCTGCTGCCAGTTGCTTGCTGCCTCACCATTTTCTCTTGTTGTAGGTGTACAAACCTCTCTTGGACAAAGCTGGCTTGGGATCCATAACTTCTGTTCGCTTTCTAGGAGATCAACAAAGAGTGTTTCTTTCCAAAGAACTTTTGAAGCCAATCCAGGTAGGACAATGAGTATTATTAAATCCTGAGAATAGAACCACACACCTTTAGCTTCTCTGATGAGAAGTGTTGATGTTGATTACTGTGACTCATCCAGCTAACAAACAAGACCCTATCCTGTCAGCAACTAGTTCTTAGATACCATCTCTCAGTGTGAATCATTGCATTTGGTGCTATTCACTTGGGTTTGAAAATATGAAGATTTTAGAGTTAATGGTGTGTGAAAATGTTTTTTTTTTAAGGTTTTATTTTAATTGGAAAGTCAGATATACAGAAAGGAGTAAAGATAGAGAGGAAGATCTTCCATCTGTTGATTCACTTCCCAAGTGACTGCAATGGATGGAGCTGAGCTGATCTAAAGCTAGGAGCCTGGAGTTTCTTCTGGGTCTCCCATGTGGGTTCAGGGTCCCAAGGCTTTGGGCTGTCCTTCAGTGCTTTCCCAGGCCACAAGCAGGAAGCTAAATGGGAAGTAGGGCTGCTGGGGTTAGAACCGGCACCCGTATGGGATCCTGGCATGTACAAGGCAAGAACTTGAGCTGCTAGGCTACTGTGCCAGACCCAAAATGATTTTTAAAAGTTGATTGCATTCACATACAATACATGAAAATGTATGTATACTTGGATACATACAAGGGCACTTTAAAAAGTTTAAAGTTTCAGGTTTGGCAGTGTGGCATGGTGGATTAAGCTGCCTACAATGCCAGCATCCCATATCTGAGTTGAATTGAGTCCCAGCTGCTTCTGATCTAGCCCCTTGCTAATGTGCCTGGGAAGGAAATGGAAGATGCAGGTGGCCATTCCTGCTATTTGGTGGAAAAATCCACATACATAAGATTTCTTTCCATGTCACTTTACCTTTAAAATAAATAAAAAATAAATCCTTGGAAAGGTGACACTGACACTGTAGTGCAGTGGTTTAAACTGCCACTATAACTCCAGCATCCCATGTTAGAGCAAGTTCCCATCCTGTTGCCCTGCCTGTGATCTAGCTTCCTGCTGATGCACTAGGAAAGACAACAGAAGGTGGCCCGAGTGCTTGGCTCCCTGACACCCAAAAAGGAGACCCAGATGGAGTTCCTGGCTTCTGGCTTCAGTCTGACCTAGCCTGGCTCAGCCCTGACTAAGTTGGCCATTTGGGAAGTTAAACCAGCAGGTTGAAGGTCTCTGTATCTCCCCTTTAGCGCTGCCATGCTACATTTCAATTAAATTTTAAAAAAAGAAACAATTCTCTCCCATAAGAGGATGATTTAAAAAGTTTCCTTTGATGTAAAATTTTTAAATTTACATACCTTTTAATTGTAGGTAGTTTCCACGAACTTTTTGTCATGCTAATTTTTAAAAAAAGATTTGTTTGTTAATATTGGAAAGGCAGATATTTTTAAAGAGGAGAAAGATTTTCTATCCATTGGCTCACTCCCTGAATAGCCACAGTGGTTGGGGCTGAGCCGATCCAATGCAGGAGCCAGGAGCCTCCTCTGGGTCTCCCACGTGGGTGCAGGGTCCCAAGGCTTTGGGCCGTCCTTTTCTGCTTTCCCAGGCCATAAGCAAGAACATGAATCAGTGCCCATATGGGATGCTGGAAGTTACAGGTGCTGGCTCCTTTTCATGGACTTTTTGAAGACCCCTTATACATGCAGACAGTCCTCATTATTCATGGATGTTTGTGAATTTGCCCATTTGCTGAAATATATTGGTAGCTCCTGCATACTCAGTTGTCATCTGTGGTTGTTCACAGTCATGAGCAGAGCAGTGAACAATCTGATTTGCCGGATGTAAGTTCCCAGCTGAGATAGTAGAAGGTGATGAACTAATGTTCTGCCTCTTTTCACTCACATGGTGTAAACAAGTGCTCCTTTTGTTGTTTTACATGTATATAGGGCCACAGTTTTGGGCCAGGTGTGCGTGTCATTTCACTGTTTAAAATGGCTCTCTAGAGGGTGGGTGTTTTGCATAGTGGTGAAGGTGCTGCTTGGGCTGCTCGCACACCGTGTCTGAGAGCCTGAGTCCAGTCTCTTCAGCTGACTGCTTAGACCCTGGGAAGCAGCAGGTGTTGGCCCAAGTACTTGGTCCTGCCACCTGCATGGGAGACCTGGAATAAGCTCAGGGTTCCTGGCTTTGGCTGGCCCAGCCCTGCCTCTTGGGAGCTTTTGGGATGAAATCAGTAAATGGAACTTCCTGTTTGCCTTTCAAATAAAAATTAAAAAAAAAAAAAATTGGCCCTCAAGGAAAAGGGCAGTTGGCTTAGCAGTTACGTGTTTTCTCGTCATAGTGCTTAGTTTGATCTCCAGCTCTCCTCCTGATTTCCACTTCCTGCTAACGCAGACCCTGAGCAACAATGGTGATGGCTTGCGTCATTGGGTTTCTGCCAATCATGTGAGAGAGGTGCATTGAGTTATTTAACTCCCAGCTTTGGTCTACTGACTGTTAGCAGTTAGAGCAAACCTACAAAGTGGAGCATTCTTTTCTGTTTGTCTCTCCCTGTCTCTTCAATTTAAAAGAAACCATGGCCTTCAAAGTAGTGCTGGGATGCTCTTATTTATCTGTGCTTCTAAGTGCAGGAAGGCTGTGATATGTCTCAAGGAAATAAGTGTCTTCGGTAAGCTTTATAATCTTGAAATTGAAGAACCAACAATACATATTATTAAATAGGGTGTCTTTCACCATAGCCACCTATAAAACAAGGATATGTATTGATTTGATGATGCAAATGTTGTGACTTAAGTCTGTAAGGAAGGAGGTAGGATGAGAGATTGGTCTTCCAGCTACTGATTCATCCCCCTGATGGCTGCAGAAGGTGTGCTTGCCCAAGTCCAAACCTGAAACCAGGAGTTTTCTCCCAGTTTCCCATGTGAGTGCAGCAGCCCAAGCACTTGGGGCATCTTTCGTCGATTTTTTTTTTTCCAGGCAATTGGTAGGAGGCTAGCTTCTGAGCAGAGCAAATGGGACATGATTCAGTGCCCAAATGGCTTGTGGGCATCGTATGGGCAACGTTACACATTACAATACAGTGCTGGTCCCAGGAACCTAACTCTTTCCTCTGGGAGCAAGGATTCCATATTCTTTGAATATTTTTGGAAATTCTGTGAGATCAGAAGAATTGACTCTGTGTGTGTGTGTGAGTGTGTGAGAGAGAGAGAGAGAGAGAAAAAGAGAGAAAGAACGTCTTTCTGATGAGCTTGTAAAACTCTCACCTTTTTCTTCAGAACATTTGGGCTCCTGGCTCTTGCTCACATTTGATTATTATGAAAATTTCGCAATGGCAGGAAAAATGAACCTTGATATTGGAAGGCTCTGTACTTTAATATGGCTTTCCTTTGCCCTGCTAGATTTTGGGTTTGGCAGGTTATATCTATTGACAGTTTCTATATGCAGTTATCATAGCTGGGTGTGTACACAAAGCCAGAACGCTTTGGAATGGTGCCAGGGGAGCTGCTGCCAAGAACTGAGTGTTTCAAAACTGGTTTACCCTGAAGCCTTGGGCTTTTCATTCACATTTTCTGTCTATGCTTCCTCCCTTACCTCTTACAAAGAGAGATGCTTTTTGAATATTGGTTAAACACATTTGGAAACAATGAGTTGTTTGTTTAAAAAAAAAACAGCCATTTTAGTGAATTGATGAGACAGGAAAGACAGATATGTGTTATCTGTGTGTCTTTTGCTTCTGGATCTTTGATTTCTCCCTTCCCAGTGTTTGGGATTTGAGTTTTCCACACTGGTTGGCTTGCTTCCTTTTTTTGCTTGTGTTTTAGAACTGTGCTTTAAGGCATCCTGAGCTATTTTCATGTTCCTCATTTCAGGTAGCTTAGACCTGGGGTTGAGCATTTCCAACTTTTCAATCTGTCCACTTCAGTAGGGTTGCAGTGGATTGGTGCCACAGATGGCTAGTAAATTAACCAGAAACCCATCCAATTAAGCTGATTGAAATAGCCATTGATATTTTAGAAACTGTTCTTGTTACCTTACAATATAATGATTTTTCATTTTATAGGATGTAAATAGTCTTCGACTTTCTCTTACGGATAATCAGAATGTCAGTAAAGAATTTCAAGCTTTGATTGTGAAACATTTAGATGAGAGCCATCTTTTGCAAGGTATGTGAAATGATCCGGTAGTGATAGTTCATGAGTTATCCAATAAAAGGCTTGTAGGGAGCCAGGGCTTAGTCTTTCTGATTGATTTTTTCACTGAAGTCTTACATTGTTCTATATTTTTCTAGAGCAACTCTAAAACATAAAAATTAAAAATTTCTGTTGCTTTCCCCATAGAGCTAGGGATTTAATGAATACATTCTTTTTTCTTAGGTGTGTTTCTTTGTTTGAAAGCAGAGATCCGCTAAGAGAGGGAGAGGAAGAGTTAGAGAGACTGTCCATCTGCAGGTTGACTCCCCAAATTGGCTGCAACAGCCAGTGTGTGCCAGGCCCAAGCCAGGGTTCCAGAGCTGCTTCTGGCTCTTCCACATGGTGCAGAAGTGCAAGCACTTGAGCTAGTTTGAATTGCTTTCCATGGATGCATTAACAGAGAGCTGGATGGGAAATAGAACATCTGGGACTTGAACTGTTGCCCATATGAGATGTTGATATTGAGGGTAGTGGCTTAAGGTGCTGTGCCACAGCACTGGTCCCTAACTGATATATTCTAAAAATTCTGAAACTTGAGAAGTTTTTATAGTACTCAGAACTGTTGAAAAAGCTCAGCTATATTTTGGCGTGGCATTTGCTGTGTTTAGAATGACAGGTTTTGTGTTTTTTTGTTTGTTTTGTTTTTTAAGATTTATTTTGTTTTTATTGGAAAGTTAGATATACAGAAAGGAAAGACAGAAGGATCTTCCATCTGCTGATTCACTCCCCAAGTGATTGCAGTGGCCAGAACCGAGCTGATCCAAAGCCAGGAGCCTAGAGCTTGTATCTGGGTCTCCCACGGCTTTGGGCCGTGCTCTACTGCTTTCCCTGGCAAAAGCAGGGAGCCTAATGGGAAGTGAGCCTCCAGGTTAGAAACCAGCGCCTGTATGGATCACAGCTTATAAAAGGTGATGACGTTAGCTGCTAGGCTACCGCATTGAGCCCAGTCTTTGTTTTCTAAAGATTTATTTATTTAGTTGACATTATTAGGCATAATCTCTTTGGGATTCCTAATTTGAGTCCCGTATAACTACATACAGGAAAAATGGGTTAGGTTGTTTTTTTTTTAATTCTTTTAAGTGACAGGTGAAGGTCGCAATCTTTTTTTTTTTTTAAGATTAATTTTTATTTTTATTGCAGAGTTAGATATATATATAGAGAGAGAGAGGAGGAGGAGAGACAGAAATATCTTTCCTCCAATGATTCACTCCCCAAGTGATTGTAATGGTCAGTGCTGCGCCAGTCCGAAGCCAGAAGCCAAGAGCTTGGAACTCTTCTGGGTCTCCCACACGGGTGCAGGGTTCCAAGGCTTTGGGCTGTCCTCGACTGCTTTCCCAGGCAACAAGCAGGGAGCTGGATGGGAAGTGGAACCACTGAGATTAGAACTGGCACCCATATGGGATCCCTGTACATTATTAACCACTAGGCCACAGCGCCAGGCCCAAGTTAGGTCTTGATGTATTAATTGTCTGATACTATTTGATCTGTTGCAGTATGCAAGGATAAATATTTTGCCACTTTAATATCCATAGAAAAATTAAACTTTTGGAACTTAAATTTTTCTTCTTGATTTGGTGAAATATCTCTCTTAAGCTGATAGGAATCAATGCTTAATTCTGACTGATTTTTTTGGAGCATCTATTTTTGGAGGAAGGAGGAAGGAGGAAGGGAAAGAGAGAAAGATGTTCTCTCCACTGGTTCTGTGGCCCTGACAGCCACAGCGAGGCTGGGTGAAACCAGTAGCCGGGAGCTTCGTGCAGGTTTCCCACAGAGGATCAAGTGTCATCTGCTGCTTTCCCAGGTGCATTAGCAGGGAATTGGATCTGAAGTGGAGCAACCAGGGCTTGAAGTGAGATCCATATGGAGTGCTGGCACTGTAGGCAGTAGCCTGCTCACTGCATCACAGCACTGGCTCCATCCTGCTATATTTTTTCTTCTTTTTCTTGATTTATGCATTTTTGAAGTAGTTACAGAGAGAGGGAAAGATCGTCCACTGCTTTACTCCCCAAATGGCTGCACTGATGGTCAGGGCTAGGCCAAAGCCAGGATCCTGGCGTTTAATCCAGATGTCCCATATGGGTGCAGCGACAGAAGCACTCGGGCCATCTGCTGCTGCTTACCTAGGCTCACCAGCAGGGAGTTGGATTTGATGCAGAGCAGCAGGACTTGAACTGGTACCCCCAATTAAATTTGTTTGTTTATTTGTTTATTAAGGCACAAAAATACTGTCCTGGCTGATGGTATCATTGGTAGATAATGCAGATTATTCTAAGTGTTTTTTTGTTTTGGTTTTTTCTTTTTTTAAGGTGACAAAAACTTGGTTGGTTCAGAAGTAAAAATTTACAGCTTGGACCCATCTACGCAGTGGTTTTCAGCAACTGTAGTCAATGGAAACCCAGCATCAAAAACTCTTCATGTGAACTGTGAGCAGGTAAGCACAGTGGTAATTACACTTTATACTTTCTTGGCAGGGCAAAATAATTATGTAAAGGATTTATGATCTTCTAGGAGCTAGACATTATTTTATAATAAATCATTAACAATAAATAGAAATAATTCCAGATCTTTTGTTTTATTTATTTTTCAGGTTCCAGCACTGAAAATTGTTGATCCAGCACTGATTCATGTTGAAATTGTGCATGATAACTTTGTGTCATGTGGTAAGTTACTTGGATAAAAAGCTTCTGTTTTTCCCTTTCCCCTTTGCATGTAAGAGAGACAGGGAAGCAAACTTGCCTGTTTTCTTATGTCTTAGGTAATTCTACAAGAATTGGAGCTGTAAAGCGCAAATCTTCCGAGAGTAATGGGGGCCTGCTTCCCAAACAAGCCAAGTCTGGCCCTGAGGTAACGTGGGTTTATTTGTGTCACTTGTGTGAGGCTCTCCTGAACTCGGCAGTGCACAGCCCTCCTGCGCAGTGGCCACGTGCTGTCGCTCTGCTCCCCCGTGCTGTTGTCAGTTTGCGTTCCAGGTCTTCTCATGCAGATGAAGATAATATAACTTTCTGGTTTGCAGATTTTGTTGTGTGAAACGATATTTCATTCTTTGATATTTGCAAGCTGTTCTCAATAGATGTGACAGTTTTACTGTAAGAGGCGTTTTTGAAGGTCAGTTGAGTTTCATGTGTCAACTAGGAAGGGGGCCAAGCAGGAGAGAAGATAAACCTACATAATTCTGAGTGGGTTGAGTATTGAAATATGACCCTCATTTCACAAATAAAGGAGTTTGCTTGGTCATTTATAATTGAGTAAATGGGGTACTGGTTTTTCAGAGGAAGTGGCTGGTTTCTCATTACTAGTTTCTACTCAGGAAAACATAGGCTCCTGTGAGTGCCATATGGCTCCAGTGGCAGATTCCATTCTGTCCTGAAATAGGACTTGGACTAAGAAACCTAAGCCTACTTTTCTTTTGAGTGATTAAGGACAGATAGCTGAAATAATTTAGAGGTCTAAATGTATTAGTGTCACATATGTAGTTTCCTGCATGGTAATGATAAAAAACACCCTTATACTCCTTCAGATTGGAGTTTAGAACTTTAAAATTGGCCAGATTATAATTAAGATTGTTGGCAGTATTTAAGAGAGCCATAGGTCTTGGGGAGCAAGGCAAGGAGAAATGGAAGGGGGCCTGGTCGAAGACCAGGATCAAAGATTCAGGATCAAGGGCAGGCTGGATTCTGCAGGGTCAGCTAGAACCAGAGCAAGGCTGTGGTACACAGAATACTGTGCACCTGCAGTGACTGACAGGCAATGGGAACTTTGACACTTCACCAAAGGCTTTATAATGCAAGGCATCTAAGCTGTCTTCCAGGAATGGAGCTGTGGGTTGTTTAGGAGAAATGAAGTCAGTTATGGAAAGTGGTGTTACTACCTTTTTTTTTCCTCTTAAAATTTTAAGGTAATTGCAAGTATGTGCATCCAAATCAGAAATACTGCATATTCTCTGTGTGCTGGGTTCGACATAAGACATCAGTGAGGGGGATAAACTTCGGGGGGATAACTGGACACACACTCTTAGAATATGTCCCATTTACTGGAGTGCAATCTGACAGGAGGATGGAGTCGGGGGAGCTGTAAAGGAAGTTAGGCTGCTATCCTATAGATGGGTGTGTAGAAGATCTTTGCTTTGTCTAAGGGCTTTGATTTGAACTTTTTATATGAATGAGGGAAGGTGGTGAGATTGGAAACAAGGGTACATTTAGTTTAGTGGAATTTTGCGCCATAAACAGACCTAAAGTGAGGGCAGAAAGAACATTGAGGAAGCAGCATTAATTAGATTTGGTTGAGGATCAGCTGTTAGTCATGATGAAGTAAGGGAATCCACTAACAAAGTGAGTTAAACAAATGGACTAACATGACAGCTTTATCTTTGCTCTGACTTAGCCCAGGTCAAGTGTTCATTTATGATATTGTAAGGATTCCCATTATAGAAAAGGAATGAGCTGATGGGAGTAGGAATTCCTATTCCAGAAGAGAACAGAGCTAGGAGGGCCCTGGGGGTGTAATGTAGAATCATCTATAAACAGGTTATCAAGTGTTATTGCATCTTAGAGCCAGTATTGCCAAGTAATGCATAGTGTTGAGTGGTAGAGTAATAACTGGCCAGGATTTGACATTGGCAGGATTGCTAGCAGTCCAGAGTAGAGGTTTGGAGAAGCGGGTTGGTTGTTGCCTGTCATGGTGCATCTGTGTAAATAGTGTGCTGGTGAGTAGGATGGAGAATATGAATGGCACACACCTTGTTAGATAACGGATCAGGAACCTGGGCTGTAGACAGGACTGAGGTTAATTGGAGACCTCCTGGAATAAGGTGGCATTTCTTCAAATCGGGTCTGCTGGTGATGTTTATAAAGCATTTTATTTTAAAAATATGTATATGAATGATTCTCTGCCTGCCCTTTGCAGAACAGGTAACATGACTGTTATCTTTTGGGGGGTCTTGCCCACTCTGCCTATAAATTCGTGTGCTGTTGAACTGATTGTTGGATAATTGAAGGTATTAAATAAAGTAAGGCTGAGCTTTGTTAACTTCAGCATTGTTAAAATGGGAAACTAAATTTGGTGTTTTAAAAATACTTCAGCTTTTGAGCTCTGTACTACATGTCTTATTCTAAAAGAAGTTGGAGGAGGTCTCATTTATTCCTGGGTTTTAGTTCTAGAAAGGGTTTTTAGTATTAAAGCTAATCTCATTTTAAAGTCTTTGGTATACCTAGAAAAGCATGATAAAGAAGAACATATCTCTTGATCTGCTTTGAGGCTACACTCAGAGTTTTGGGAATACTTGCATTCTGTTTTGGTTCTACCCGACCCTGATACGTGAAGGAGGCTGGAGGCCACATTCTGTAGCCTGCTTGCTTTGGAGTATTTTGTTTGTTTGGTTTGTTTTTTTTGCACAATTGTAAATTTTACTTTTCATTTTGGATAATTCTTATGATTGGGAAAGTTTTGGGACTATTGTACTGGTCTAAATTACAAGAGAACTGGAGAGGCAAAGGAATAGGGGGAGTTACCTGTGTGAGCGACAGGTGAGCACAGCGATGTGTCAGGCCTGATTCTCCCAGTGTTGTACTTCGCAGGCCTGCAGGATTGGCCTGGGGCTTACTTTAGGGTGGTCCCTGAAAGACAGGAGGTTGGGGTTAGGGAAGCCAGACTCTGACCACCTTGATGGCTACTTGGTTAAAGGTGGCACCCTCTGCCAGTGACATCTTCCTCCTTGAAGGTCTTCTCTGCCCGGCAGACTGTTCCTCGTACTTGTCATACTGCTTGGTTCATTGAGCAAGAGTCTGCGGAGGAGTGTGAGCCAGCAGCATCCTTGCTAGAATACTGTCATATGCTCAATTACATTATCTCCATCTGCTGGCAGGGAGGAACTGTTGCCATGACTGGTATAGAAGACCTTCAGGGGAAACTCTTCAGGTAAGAAGAAGCCTTGACCCTTTGCTGAGTCAGAGCCAGTGCAGAAGCGTGCACGGGAATCAGGTTTGGGACTCAGGAGTGTTGTTCCTGTGAAGCCAGCCCTTAGCACAGTTGTGAGGGGATGCACTGCAGTTGCTGACCAGAAAAGCACTCTACCTCATGCTAGTTCGAACACATGGTTACATACCAGAACATTTTCACAATATTTCTCTGCTAAGAGAGCAGCTCTGTAAAGTTGGTTTTACTGTGTGCCAGACACTATGGTGCAGCAGATCCCTGTTTACTTACGTTCTGCTTAATTGCTCCTGATTTTATGTATGAGAGTAGTGTGTGAGGAAGTGTCAGGACCCAACACCCGAATCCAATTCTCTTCACTTCCATACTGCTGCTGCAACTCCTCTCCTTTCTTTGGGGTGGTGAGTCACCACTGCAAAGTAAAAGCCATGCTTCCATCTATCTCTCCATCTCTTCTTCCGGCAAACTGTTTCTAGAATATTTACTATATGAGCCATTGACCTACCATGGTGAGCATTACTGCTGTCCTTCTCTTCAGCTAATTCATAAGATTTATAGTTATGTGAAAATGTTAGGTTCTGATAGCTCTCATTCATTTGTTTATTGCATCCGTTTTATTTATGAGTACCTGCCACATCTGGCTTTATGAGATGTAACGAAGGACACGAGAGCAGGGTTCTGCTCTGTGGGCATACATGTTCTTTTGTGAGGAGACTGACAGTTCAGGGCGCTCTCACAGTGTTGCCCTATGGAAGACAGATATGTAAAAACATGGTGTCTTATAATAGGGTGGTGCGCAACTTTGGAAGTACTCAGGGATAGTTGAACAGTAGTAGCTGAGAGTGAAGTCATGAAATCGGCCGGCTATGAAAAACTGCAGGCAGAGACAACAGCCAACAGAAGGACTCGGGGAGGAGAAGGGCTTAGAATATTTGAAGACCAGAAAGGAAACCAGTGTAGTTGAGTACTGTGGGCAAGCAGGCAGTGAAGTGAGGAGGGGATTGGCAGGAGACTGGACCGTGTGCAGTTATTCTAGGCATTAGAGTGCTATGGTTTTGTATACATTATTTTGTTGAATTATTTAATTTCTTTATTTGTTTGAAAGCGAGATCTTCTATCTGCTGGTTCACTCACCAGGTGGCCACAATGGCTGGTGCTAGACCATGCCAAAACCAGGAGCCAGAAACTGCCATGTGAGTAGCAGAGGCTCAAGCTCTTGGGCCATCATCTTCTGCTGCCTTTCCCAGACCACTAGGAGGGAGCTGGATCAGAAGTGGAGCAGCAGGACTTGAATTGGCACCAATGAGAGACGCTAGTGTCTTGGGTGGTGATCTTATGCTCTGTGGCAGAGTAAATTTCAGTTTCCTAAAGGATTCAGCAAGGAAGGAAGTTGGGCCAGTTACAAGATGTGCATTCTAGTGCTGGAATGGAAAGAAATGGAAAGAAATGGATAGATTCAGTAAACACTTCAGAAATAGTGCATTAGTTGGTTATGGGGAATGAGAGATGCAGGATGTTTTGGCTTGAACAGCTTGATGGATATTGAGGTTGTGTCATACATGGTAGAAATTTTTGCATAAGTTTGTAGTCTAAATTTCTTAAGTGTTTTTGCTTTCAGGAGAATAATTCCAGGAAAGGTGTTGCTGCATATTCCAAATAAGAAAGGTGGTAGACATGAGAAATGTTTGATGTCAGTGAGCCTTGATTAAGCATTTCTAAAGGATCTGGCAGTTCAGTTTTGGAGGATCTACCCTTTAATCATGATTACCAGAGGATTATGACGTATTAGAGTTACCAAGATGACTAATTTTCTTATTAAATACTACTCACTTTGGCAGTACATGCTACACCCAAACTGGGATAGTGAAGACAAGTTTAGCATGGCCCTGCACAAGGTTGACATGCAAATTCATGATGTGCTTCAAAATCTTATTGTAACTGATTTGTGTGTGCTTTGAATCATTAAAAAGTTAATGTTATTTAATTCTACTTGTCCAATATTATACTGTTTGCGTATTTCATAATACAGATGTTAAAAAGTTAATGATGATGTTCCTGTTATGGTGATGCCGATGTTAATGTATCAACATTAGCGTTGATGATAATGGTAGTAATTTAGTGTTGTGCTGAAAAAAGAAAAGTTAAAAAACAAGCTAATGAAGTTAAATTGATAATCCCAAGGATATAGTCAACAGTCCCTGAAAGAAACAAAGGCAGCCACACAGTCTGGAGACTACTGAACTCTGTTAGTAACCATAAGTGAATTGATTAAAATGGTGCAACAGTTATTTCAGTACTTGCAGTGATTTTAAGCTGTTATGCTAAATCTCTGATGGTGATTAAAGCTTTCAGGAGTTTCTACAGTTTAGATCTGGTGGCAAGGTAAAAGGTTGTTATAGTGTGACAGATTGATTTAAGCACATTTTAAAAGGCTGGTGAAGCCGAGATGAGTGAGTTAATTTAGCCTGTTTTATCCATAGATTGTTTAGTTGGCTTGAGTTATATCTTACTATGCTGGGAAATTTATTTTTATGGGATGATACTGACAAGTGGATTTCTTTTTTCTTTTTTTTTTTTCTTTTTAAAGATCTTATTTATTTTTATTGGAAAGGCAGATATACAGAGAGGAGGAGAGACAGAGAGGAAGATCTTCCGTCTGAAGGTTCATTCCCCAAGTGACTGCAGCGGCTGAAGCTGAGCCAATCTGAAGCCAGGAGCCAGAGCTCTTCCGGGTCTCCCACGCGGGTGCAGGGTCCCAAGGCTTTGGCCCATCCTTGAATGCTTTCCCAGGCCACAAGAGGGAGCTGGATGGGAAGTAGGGCTGCCGGGATTAGAACCAGTGCCCATACGGGCACTGCAAGGCGAGGACTTTAACCACTACACTTTCGTGCTGGACCCAGCAAGTGGATTTCATATGTATATTTTTGAGAACATAAAATTAGAAGCTCAGGATACATGTGTCCCAGCTTTGTACCATAGGCCTGTCATAACTTGATATTTTTTGCAGTTTGGGATGGGATGACTTTTGTGAATTGATGAGCATATGAAAGCAAGAACTGTATCTTCAACCCTAATCGTGTTGGCTTTAATTGGTACCTAGTAGGCACCAATGCTACCAGAGTCCTGTGTGGTCTGATCTGTCAGTGTACACAGTAGGTGTGTCGTGGGCACCTAAGCCATGTAAAAACAAATTACAGAAAACTGCCACGATTTGAGACTGTCACTTAGAAGTTTGCTTCTGTATGTTTGTATTATCAAGATAATTGCCCTAAAACTCTATTTTCCTGGCGTAATGAGATCTGCAAAAGACGAGCTTATGATCTTCTAATAGAAACACTGATTTTTGTGAAAACTGTACTAATCTAATTTATCCTTCAAAACTGAGTCCTTAACTTTGTGTTTTTTCTCTTGTTTTACTATCCTTTTGATTTGGTTTTGATATTTTTCTCTCAATATTAAATCAAAAAGAATTTTGTGAATACTGTGTAATTTTCAGCAGGGGACTTTTCCTTTTCATATTTGTTTGTTTTCTAGGCTTCTCCCAGTATGTGTCCTGTCCAGTCTGTCCCTACCACAGTTTTTAAGGAAATACTGCTCGGCTGTACTGCAGCAACTCCACCTAGTAAGGACCCAAGACAGCACAGTACTCCCCAAGCTGCCAACTCGCCACCAAACCTTGGAGTAAAAATTCCTCAAGGGTGAGTAGTGCTACAAACGTTTAATTGAAAGATTTGGTTCATTCTATCTCTGATTGTCCCAGAGAGGTTTTTCTTTAGTGTTTCAAAAAAGAAAAGAATGATCAGGTGTTTCCAGAGCTAAAAAAAAAATGAGGAAGGGGCGCAGAAAAACATGACAGGTTTGCATGGGGAGTGGGCAATGAGGAGCTTTCCTGGCTTGACAACAAAGAATCACTTGGAATTGTAGTGACATCTGTGGAACAGCTTCTGTTTTGAAGGGAAGTGGGGAATGTGTTTGGGGTCTGTGGAGAAGAGGGGGACAGGATCACAGAGAGGATCAGCATGAGCCTAAGTGAGTAGACTGTTAGTACAGGTAAGAAATGTGCTAGTAGAGGAAATTTAAGAGTAATAAAAATGAGGAAGCAATAACCAGATGAGGTGTGGTATGTTACAAATTTATAGGAGAGTAAAATGACTAAGAAGTGTGCAGACTGAAAGCAGGTACCAACTTGACAGGTTGAAGTGGAGCATCGCTTTGGAGGGAATGGTCATTCACAGGTCACAGAGACTGGTATAGAAAGCAAGGTTGGGAACAGGTGGGAGAGTGACCAGGCACAATGACTCACTGGGGGAAGAGTAAGTGGTCTGAGACAAAGCTTGGAGGGGACTGTAGGATAGTCAAATGATGAGGAACTGGTTTTGAAATAAAGGAACCAATAGGAAGTTAAGTTACCATCCAAGCAAGGGTTTCTGATCTGAGTGCTTAAATGGAAAATTCTCCAGGGTGAAATCCTTTGTTAGGAATGGAAGAAGGAAATGATTTAGAAAGAAAAAACTTTGCGTTTCGGTGAGACAAGAATTCTAGGGTGAATTTTGGAGAATCAAAAGTTCTTCAAGGATAAATACTGACCAAATCAAGCTGTGAACCAGCAGATAATCACTTGACTGTTCCTTACATTTGGTTCTGATCATGGACCAAGCAAGAATGAACTTACTCATAGCAGGACAGAGTTTAACACTGCTAGCAGTAAAGATTTTTGAAGATTCATTGTTCGAAAGGCATAGTGACAGAGAAATCAATTTTTAATTCTCTGGTTCATTCCCCTGTATTCACAACAGCCAGATGTGGGCCCGGATGAAGCCAGGAGCAAGAGATTATTTTGGGTCCTTTGTGTGGGTGTCAGGGACACAGGTACTTGATCCATTGTTTGGTGACTCCCAAGGTCCAGTAGCAAAAAGCTGGATTGGAAGGGGAGCAGTCAGGTCTGAGTTCTGCTTTGTGCTTTCCCTGCGTTCAGGTGGTTTTACAGAGCGGTTGACCGATTACTATCCTCAGTTTTCTAACAAAGGCTGTTTATTTTCATGGATGCTTCAGGGAACCAAACAGTTGTTTTCAAAAGGTGAGAGAGAGAGATTAGGGGAGGAAAAAATGGCCAGGATGCTAGTTACCCATATTGTCTTTTTCAGATGTCATAAGCAGAGTTTACCAGAAGAACTTTCTTCCTGTCTAATTACAAAGCCTGAAGTACTGAGAACAAAACCAGATGTTGTCTGTAAAGCAGCATTGCTTTCTTCACAGTCCTCCCAGATTGGAACTGGAGATTTGAAAGGTCTGAGTGAGCCAAGTGGCAGCTGCAGCCAACCTAAGACAGACGCTGATCAGGAAAACAGATTGGAATTTGTTCCACCAGCGCTGACTGACCTTCCCAGGGAGTGTTTAACCACAAAGGCGTCTTCAAAGGCAGAACTGGAAATGGCCCATACTCCAGAACTGCAGAAGCACCCAGAACGTGCCCCTTCCACATCTAATGTCCTGGCCAGTAAGCTAGAAGTGAAAGCTGTTGTCAATAGTGATAGCCCTAAGAGCTGTGCAGAAAAACAAGCAGAACCTTCAGCTTGCCGGTCACAGAACTCAAAGGAATCTTCAACAAAAGTCGACAACAGCTGTTGTACAAGAAGCAACAATAAATTCCAGAATGGTGAGCATTTCTAAGTGTCTCTATTGATGGACAGTACAAGATGGTAGATGTTTGTATATGCACGTCTTTTTGAGAAAATAATGAAAATGACTTTGTAGGAAAAATTCACAAATGGACTCATGCCAACAGTTTTGTGTTCTGAATTGCGTGACTGCATCAGCATTTTAAAGCTGCAAGGCTTCCATTATATACAGTCACCTGGTGATTTTACTGGCTCCTATTAGATAATTCCTCATATTTGGTTGTAGGAAAATCTTTCTGGAACAAAATCTTAAAGGGATAATGGTAATGTTTTTGTAACATTTCAGGTTGGAATTGAGATGACACTTAGCTACACAGGTAGCTCAAATTGGAAATTAAAGCAAAGAAAGATACAGAATTGTGTAATCACTTCTGAAAGAAGATTGGTTAGCAACATTATGGATGTGGCTGAATCACTAGGCATATTTTTTTAAATTAGAATTTGTTTTTATTAATTTTCTTTAATTGATTACATTGCAGTATGTGACACAGTTTTATAGGCACTGGGATTCCCCCCCTCCCCAAGCCCTCCCCTCCCATGGTGGATTCCTCCACCTTGTTGCATGGCCACAGTTCAAATTCAGTTGAGATTCTTTCCTTGCAAGTATCTGCAAAGCATTGAGTCCAGCATCTTATTGTCCAGATAAGTTCAACGGTTTCTTGGGGAGACCATCTCTGGTCTGAAGGTAGAGCCGACAGAGTATCATCCCAAGCAATGAAAAGCCCCGACATTACATCAGCAACAATTTATAACGTAATGGAATTAGTTGACCTGGTATTGTGTGACCAGCATGTTAAAAGAGAGAGTGAGTAAAAAAGAGTGCAAGCTCTGAACCACATCCTGTGACTTCTACATTGACATTACACTTATTAGCTTATATACAACTGGGATCTATACACGTTAAAATGGCTATAGATTACTATTCAGCTGTCTCATGTCTATTTTAATTTTAGTATTTAGCAGGTTATAGCATTGAAACATGATTTTGCTGAGCCTGGCTGTTTTTCGGGTAGTCTAACTCTATAAATCTAACAAGACATATGTCAACAGTTTAGGTGAACAGTTTTAGGAGGGGTATGCGGAGAAATCTTCAATACCCTAGTGAGGGGTAACTAATCTTTGTGTCCCACCCAGTGAGTTATAAGTGCATCCCCGCTGACTGTTTCCTGTCTGATTCCAAGCCTTCCTTGTTTTCTATCTCTTCTAGATTGTTTATTTGTTTGTTTGTTTTGAGGGGTTTCTGGAGTGATCCTGATGGTCATTACGAGAGAGGGTGGTGACCCAAAGTCGGAACCAGGCAAGAACCAGAGAAAGCTCCTCTCCCTAGTCCCAAAGGAAGTTTATTGTTCTTCTGTTTCTGCAGACCGCTCAGTGCTCCTGGTTGTCGTTCCGATGACCTTGGATCATTGGATGGACTTCTTCCATCCCATGTGATAGATCCAAATGAGGGTGGGTGACCTCAGAGTTCTTGGCCTCCAAAGGCATTCCGGTTCCTGTGTTCTCCTTGGCAGTGCGGATGTAGACCTTGGTGCTCGTACTGATAGTCCTTGGTGAGGACCTGGGAGTCTTCAGGGTTGGGATACAAGTGAATCCCTAGGCCTATTCTCTTAACAGAAGATCCAGCGGCACCCGTGGTTTAAAAGTAAACAGTTCTTCTAGGGAATATGGTATGCTTAGGTCATTCCTAATCCAAAATCTGAAACTTTTTGAGTGCCATGATGCACAAGTTAAATTCCATAACTGACCTCAAGTTAGACAGGGGTGGTCTCCGTCAAAACACAGGTGCACTACAAATTCTGTACAAAAGACTTGAGTGTTATCCCCAAGATATCTTATTGTGCATGTGGAATATTCTAAATCTGGAACAGATATTGGAAGCACTTCTGGTCTGTTGCTAGTCAGAGAGTATATTCCAATGATAGTAGTTCCTGGAAGCTCATTACGAGAGTAAGACACTGCAAATGACTTCAGCGTGTCAAAAAATTCAGAGCTATTATAGCTTTTGATAATCACCAACTGTAGGGGGAAATCAGATTTAAGTTTTTTGCAAAAGATGATTCATTCATTTGTTTATTTAAAAGACTAGTCAAGAGAGGGGAGAGAGAAAGGTGAGGTCTTCCATTTGGTGGTTGCTCTCCAAATGGCTGCAGTAGCCATTTCCGGGCCATGCTGAAGCCAGGAATTTGGAACTCTTCTTTTGGTCTCAGCTGTGTAGCAGGGTCCCAAGCACTTTGAGTCATTGAGTCATTTGCCTTCCCAGGTGCATTAGCAGGAAGCTGGATGGGAAGCAGAGTAGCTGGTTGTGAAAACAGGCACTGATTGGAAATGTCGAAGTCCCAAGTGGCAGTTTATCTTGATTCCACAATACAGGCTCCAGCTTCAAGTTTTTAAAAAAAATTTTTTTTTTGTTTCGATTTGGAACAGTAGCCAGTATATATCCACTGTAGCCTTAAAAAAAAAAAAGAAAGAAAAACTCACAAACTTGTGAAAGAAAGATGGATGAATTTGACTTGTGAATCTTACTGTATTTGGGGAAATATAAAAACTTTTTTTTTTTGCCTATAGATTCTTCTAACTCAGCTTTTTCATTCTTGAAGCTTAATACATCCATTAATATCCATGTTAAGTTACATAAAATCAACTTCATAAGATTTTACTGTTCTCAGGAGTTATCTGATTCTCAAACGAAAGTGAATATTCATCACCATATCCTTGTTCTGTTTCTTTACTCTTTTTGAGTCATCAGCACACACACTCAGCTAGTTTTGAAACATTTTGGGGCAGGATCAGAAATTGTCGTTCATACAGGTGCACAGGTGTGTTACGGAGTCAGCTTTTCTCACTTAAGATGTGCAGCTGTTGCCCTATTTACTCTGATTCTAACAGAAAGTGGCTCACTGATCTGGGCCTTTGGCCGAGGTGTGACAGCTCAGAGCCTACCTGCGTTTCTGAGCTGTGTCCACTATGCTGCTTGTGGGTGAGAAAGGTCTGCACGGAAACTGCCACCTGACGCATCCTTGCAGCTCAGAGGCAGGATGACCTCAATGTCCTGGTCCTGCTCCTCATGGAGAGGCTCATTGGTGTGCTCGGCTGTCACTCTGCTCTCTAAAATTCTGGGTTTAGACAAATCACCTCAGTTATTTCGGGGGCTTCCCTCTTTTCAGCCAGGGCAAAACAGATGAAGTGACCTTTGGATTGTCCACCTGCAATCTGTGGCAGCCTGGTCCAGTGGAAAGCAGGATGTCTTTCATGATCTGAGTAATGCATCCTTGAACTACTAATCTGTTTTAATTTCTCTCCTTTCCTACTTACCTTCTTTCCCTATAACTGAATAAGAATGTTTGAGGGAGCAAAGGCTGACAGCATCGTTTAGCATTTTACAATGTGCTCTGGTCCTGCTTTCAAAGAGGGCTAAGAGCAGATCATCTCTGGTAATTACTGAAGATGCTTATTTTATTTAAACATCTTCGGGATCCTTTATCCAACACTGGCCTTTCCCACCTGTTTCTTGGCCAGTTCCGCAAAAGTTTTTGTTTTTATATTTTGTTTGCCTAAGAACTTGCTTCCCTCATCTCATCATCTTGACGCTGAGAAAAAGGTATTGTTTCTTAAAAAATGTTCCTAGAATTTTTGACTTGTGAATAGATTTTTTTCTGTTATTTGGACTGACAGAAGATGTTCTTCTGCTCGATCTCTGCTTTCTCTTCTTTAGAAGTCATGTAAACATTTCAGGTTCTGCCCGTTACAACTGGAAACCGAATTCCCTTAAAATGGCCATCTTGTCTCTCACCAGTGCTCCTAACCCTGCCTGGGCCTTATGTGTTAATGGAAGTGAAGAGGCATTGAGTCAAGTGACATTCCTTATTATAAGCATGTTAGAAAGTAGTGTCACAGGCCAAGGGCTATGTGGGAAAGCTGTTTAGTTTTTAATATATTGGGAATAGCCAGCTTTTCTGTAGTTCTTTTCTATAAAATGCTGCTTAAATCTTTACTGAGTGTGGAAAATGACAACCGGCATCTACCACGTTAGGCTGTTGCATGAGAAACAGATATGTGCTGTGCTAAGATTGCAATAAGTTTGTGTGTGGGTATCTTGAGAAAAACACTTCCTAAAAAATATCATTTTATAAAGAAATGGAGCCCTTCAGTTCTAACAGTTTTCTGTCTGTTGAGCCATTTTTAAACACTTCACGAACAATCAAGAATTGAGAAATGGGATTATCTTATGGTGAAAAGGACTTTTTGAATAGCATTCAGTCAAATATTGGTGCTGTACAAAACACTTGTGGTCTTATTATCTTGACTTTTTGTTTTTTTGTAGTCCCGTCCCGGAAGTCAGTTTTGACAGACCCGGCTAAACTCCGGAAGCTGCAGCAGAGTGGGGAGGCCTTCGTCCAGGATGATTCCTGCGTTAACATCATCGCACAGCTGCCCAAGTGCCGTGAGTGTCGCCTGGACAGTCTCCGCAAGGACAAGGAACCACCCAAAGACTCCCCTGTGTTTTGTCGCTTCTTCCACTTCAGGAGGTGAGGTGTTTGATGAAAAACTGAGGTACTTGGGCTCCACGATATATTTGTTACTCTTGTGTTTTATGATTTCTTTAAAAAAAGTTTTTTAATTTATATTGAAAATGTTTAGACAATGCAAACTTCCATTTCTAAAAGTAGGTCATTATAAAACAAGTTCTACAAAATGCTGAAGGTTCTGAGAAACCACTTTGAAGTAAGTTTTTAGTACATCTTAGGTGTCTGTGTGGCCATTACATAGATTTGGGCGTATCTGGTTGGTGTATTGCAGATAATGTTTTGATCATTCCTGCAGTTGGAATCTCTTGATCATAGTAACCCTTACTTCTGCAAGCAGCTGGGAATTTCTATGTATATCATCATGCTATCGCACTAGTGTTGAATGAGATGGTAATTTATCTCACTTTGGTGATGTTGAGGTTAATTTTCAATTATTGTCACTGGAAGTAATGTAGAAATAGGTATCTCCTTATCAGAAGGTGTGTGTGACTTTGATACACATGTTCTCCAGGCACTTTTGATGGAGCAAGTGTGTCTACCTATGCTGGCAGAGAAGGGTGTGTCTTTTTAAAAAATTGTTTCCTATTTTAGACAAATCTTTGTATTTTATTCCCCACCCTTTAAAAAAAAAAAAATTTGTTTTATTTGAAAGTTGGCATTAAGAGAAGGGGATGGAGAGAAATCTTCCATCTACTGATTCACACCCCAAATGGCCACAATAACCAGAGCTGGGCTGACCTGAAGTTGGGAGCCAGGAGCTGCTCCCAGATGGCCATCCTCCACTGCTTTCCCAGGCCATTAGTGGGGAGCTAGAGGGGAAGTGGAATAGCCTGGCACTCGAACTCGTGCCAATGAGAAGAATTACTCATTTATTTGAGTTATCCACTGGTTAACTCCCCAAATGGATATAATGGATTTTCCATTGGTTCACTCTTCAAATGTGTATACTGGTCACAATTCGGCCAAGCTGAAGCCAGGAGTCTGGAGCTTCATTTGTATCTCCTGAGTGATTGCAAGGGCCTGAGTATTTGGACCATCCTCTGGCTTCTAGGTGCATTATTAGCAGGGAACTGGATAGGAAGTCAAGCATATGGGATTGGACTGGCATCCATGTAGAAAGCCAGCTCTGTAGGCGGCAACTTAACATACTATATCCTATCTTGTTAAGCTCTTCCATCCTGTGTGAATAAGAAAAGGGCAACCTTAGCTTCAGTTTTCTTGAGATGTAAGTGAACAGTGTTGTGCAGAAAGGATGAACAGAAATATTGCACTTTCTCAGAAACCCAGATACATGCAAGTTCAGCTAGCTCTGATACTAAGTGGAAGTACTGACTTTAATTTCTTCCTGCTCTTCTCCACTCCTTAACTTCTAAATTAAAATCTAAACAAAATGTGATTTTAGTTATTGAGACTGCCAAGAAGTTGAATTAAATGCATGGATAATTTAACCATTCATTATGTCTGTGCTGATAACATTCAGATTCAGGCTTACTTAATGAAATAGTTTTTCAGATACATGGTGGCTTCCTTCACCAATTCATTCCTAAAGAAATCAGAAACACATAGTAAAATGTATGAGTGGCATGTATAGTGTGATGGATGCGTTTGCTCCTGTGTTTTCTGAATAACACCTGATCCTTAATAGAAGTTGGTTCTATTCTCCCTCCTCTTGAGAAGTATTTTGTAACAGCTGTGATAAACTGCGTGTGCATTTGAGAAATCACACAATGGTGATGCTTGTGTAGATCTTCTTGTTCTGTTGCAGACCTGACTTCATGTCTCTGTGTGACAGGTGTCCCTAGATTGGGGGAGTGGTTGATTGATTCAAGTTGCAAAGGCATTTCAGGGAGGGGACAATTTTAATAGGTTTGTTTTGCTTGAAAGGGAGCATCAGTAAGAGAGGGAGAATCAGTAAGAGAGGGAGAAAGGGGGCCCAGTGCAATAGGGTAGTGGTTAAAGTCCTCGCCTTGAACGTGCTGGGATCCCATATGGTCACTGATTCTAATCCCCATGGTCCCACTTCCCATCCAGCCTCTTGCTTGTGGCCCGGGAAAGCAGTCGAGGATGGCCCAAAGCCTTGGAACCATGCACCTGCGTTGGAGACTCAGAGGAAGCTCCTGGCTTTGGATTGGCTCAGCTCCAACCATTGTGCTCACTTGGGGAGTGAACCATCAGACGGATGATCTTCCTCTCTGTCTCTCCTCCTCTCTGTATATCTGCCTTTGTAATAAAAATAAATAAATCTTTTAAAAAAGAGAGAGAAGAAGGGAGCCAGAGAGCGACACCTGATGCACTAGTTTACTCCCCCATATATGTGCACCCAGGGCTTTGCCAAACTCAGGCCAGGAGCCAGGAACTCGCTCTGGGTCTCCCACATAAGTCAGGGGTCATTGTCCACATTAGCTAGAAGGTGGATTTGAAAGCCAAGCAGCTGGGGCTCTGATATCTGAACTTTGGTATTGGATGCTGGTCACAGATGTTACATTGATGAGCTTGGGCCTAGTGCAATAGCCCAGTGGCTAAAGTCCTTTCCTTGCATGCACCAAGATTCTATATGGGTGCTGGTTCTAATCCCGGCAGCTCCACTTCCCACCCAGCTCCCTGCTTGTGGCCTGGGAAAGCAGTAGAGGACAGCCCAAAGCCTTGGGACCCTGCACCCACATGGGATACCCAGAAGAAGCTCTTAGCTCCTGGCTTCAGATCAGCTCAGCTTTGGCTGCTGTGGCCAGATATCTCTGTATATCTGACTTCCCAATAAAAATAAAATGAATCTTTGATAAAAAGAGATTCCATCACTAGCTCATTACCCAAATGGCCATAGTGGCCAGAACAGGCCAATGTGAGCAGCTTTATCAGGGTTTCCTATATGTGTAGCAGGGGCCCAAACACTTAGGTCAGCTTTTGCTGCTTTGGGATTAGAAGTGGAACAGCTGGGACATGAACCAGTGCCCATAGGTGATGCCGGTGTCACAGGCTGCAATATGTTGTTCTACAATGTGAATATCTGGTTGGTTGTTCTACAAGGAAGGTCTTTTTTTGTATAGCATAAGCTGGTCTAGGAGAAACTCGAATGAACTTTTTGGTAAAAGAATACTGTAAGGTAGTTGTTCCCTGCTATTTAAGAGTCAAGTTTGAGACTTTCAGGAGTTTGAGACTCATCAGGCTTGTTCCTCACTAAACTCTGCAGGTGAAACCCAGAGAGGGAGGAAGGTCAGAGTGCTCTGTGCTGGCCCTTTCGAATGTTGCCATTCACCCACACACTCAGTTCCCCAGGGATCACATACACTTTCAGGCATATGTGCTGCCAGAGCCGTCGGGGTGCCATTACCTCCCCTTTGAAACCCACTGTCATATTTGTTGGCCTTGTTATGCTAATTTCGCTCTCAAACATTTGCATCTCTCCTGTGGACTGCTATAAGTAACTGCAATGTCTGGTCCGCAGCTCTGGGTCTGTCCTTTCAGTTCTGTTCTGGACAGATACTTGCTCTGAGTGACGCCACGCACCTTCAGTCTCAGGAAGTTTCTAAAGCCTCTGTGCCAGAGGAAGAAATTAAGGGCCTTGGGAAGTGGTTGCAGGCTTTTGGCCACTCACCCCAACTTACTTCCTCAACTTACCTGTGTACAAACCCTTTGTTCTGATCTAACCAATCTGCTATCACTCAAGTCTTCTGTATTTTTCTTGCTTTTGTATGAAATACTGTCTTCTGGATAGAAACTTCTCTTAGCCAGTATCCCTTGCATGGTAAGCCCAGTTGCTGTCTGTACCATGAAGTCATGGTACAGATCCCTGCTCTGTACTTCCTCCAGCCCTCCTGTAAGACTGTAAGAGTCCTTCACTGTGTGTTATATGTTTTCAACTAGAAATATTTAATATAGTGATTTAAAATTTCAAAAGTGTTACATAACTTAGTAGAGAGCTCACGTGTTCTCCAGTATGGAGTACAGATGCAAAGGCAGTGTTCTCGCCTATCCTGTCGCTTCCTCTGATTTCAGGAGCCCAAGCCAGAGTGTACACCCCAGTTCCTGTGGGGTGCAGCACACTGTCCCACAGAGCAGCACAGCCACTACTTGGTGACTGTCTAGGGTTGCCCTCTCCTTGTGGAGCTTTGTGTTTAAAGCAGAGTCCTGTTCAGACCTGATTAGCTGAGTTCTCGCCTGCTTGTTACCAGCTTGCCACTGTGGTAACCTGTGGTTTTCCTTGCTCTTCACTCCCAAGTCTGACAGGTTGAACGACTGTCTGGGAGGCAGTGTGGTTGTTTCTTGGTTTGATTACAAAGTGGCGGCATCTCTTTTTTATGCAGAGGTGGGGAGGATCTTTTTTTGTTGACATTGGGAAATAATTGACAATAGCCATGGAGATTGTAGAAAACTGGAAAGGGTTTTATTAAAGTAGTAATTACAGGTCATAAACCAATTTTGTTGAAAACAAACATACTTACCCATTTTTTACCCTCATTTCTAGGTTACAATTCAACAAACATGGTGTGTTGAGAGTGGAAGGCTTCTTAACACCAAACAAGTATGACACGGAAGCAATTGGCTTGTGGTTACCTTTGACCAAAAATGTTGTGGGGACTGATTTGGACACAGCCAAGTACATCCTGGCCAACATTGGAGACCACTTCTGTCAAATGGTGATTTCTGAAAAGGAAGCTATGTCAACCATTGAGCCACACAGTAAGAGCATCTCTTAGTGGGTAGGATTTTTGAGTCCAAATTGACTTTTGTTCCTAAGTGACACCTAAATCCCAATTGTCTGGGTTTCATTTTCGCCAGTTCAGATGATTTTGACATAATGAGACACTGTAAGTTTAATCAGGATCAGTCATCTGTCTGTGGAGCTTTTGGGGCGGGCGGGGGGGGGGGTGGGTGGAGAGGGTTATCAAGGAAGTGGAGCTTCTTTTTGTTAGGAAAGATAAGGCTGAGGCTCATTAGTGATGCTTATTTGTCACACAGGAATGGCCAAAGACAAAGGCTCTTAGAAAGACATTTCAGAGAAGTCAGAATCTTCCTTCTGAGGCAGAAGCAGGGCCCCAGGTTTGCGAGTGAAATAAACTCTGGTGGGACTGATGCTGTTAGCACCAAGATTTGAAGGTGTGTGTGTATGTCCTCTACTCTTCGGGAGCAGTCTCACTCCATCCAGCTGCCCTCTAAGCCAAGGCACCAGCATGGGTGCCACACTAGGACTGCACTCCATCATGACATCACATTCCAAAATGGTTAAAAGTTAAAAGTGTTGTCAATCTTTTCAGACTTGACTTAAATATGCTTGAAATCAAGTGTCCTTACCAATTGTAAGAATTTTGGTTTCGGCTCTCGGAAGCCAGCTTCACAGTATTATTGGATAGTGTGGATGCTGTTCCATCTCATTCCAAAGAATAGGTACTGAGGTGTTCCCCGCAGCAGGAGGCAGAGCTGGGTGGAGGAAAGGCAGTTGTGATGTTCTCGGGCAACCAGAGCCATGCTGAAGGAGCAGTTTTGGAATTTTTCTTTTTGGTGCAGGTAGCAGAGGCTTAAGAATCTGGTTAAGCTTTTTCCTCCTGCAGTCTAATTGGGACAAGTGATACTGATTTTCCGTTTTTAGCAGGACAAAAAATTTCCTTACTGAACACATTAAAGTAAGTGCGATGTGAAGAATTCACAAGTAGCAGGTCTGGTGATGGTACACGAATGACCATGACATAAACTAACTTTATGAAAAACATCAGTTGGCTTCAGCAGGGTGTTATAGTAGGGGATTTCTTTGTTCTTTGCTACAGGTGAGTCATGTGAAAGATGTATTTGTTCTCCATACACAAAAAGGCACATAGTGATCTTTTGGGAATATAATCAAATTCTCTCCTCCTTGAAGATCTGTTATTAACCTTTGCTCTTTGCCACATTGAGTGGTCAGTTTGTGCTTCGTGGTGAGCAGGGCAGACGGGAGGGAAGGGTGCCGTGAGTGATGCTGTGTGTGCAGTGCAGCATTCCTCACGGGGCTTTTCTCTGGACAAGAGATCAGCATGCAGATCTCAGCCATTCTCCTTTGACTCAGAAGCAGTCACTGAATAGGTTAAGAAGTAAGAACCCAAATGACCAAGGTGAAGTTGCTAAAGTCTGATGTGTAAAAAGAAAAGTACCTCAACCACAGACTAGATTACAGAAAGGAGAACTCGTCAAAGAACAAGAATGTAGCAGGATTGGTCCAGTGCTGAGGAGAGAGACTGACTGCCAGAGGAATTCTGGTCAGCAGATGTTGGGTTCGTCCGTGACCTGCAAGTGTGTCTCCTCTTTTTGCTCTTTCTCTGGGAGGTTTCTACTACTTGGAGAGGGCATTGGGTTGGATATTTCTTCATGCCAGGGTAGGCAGTCCAGGGGTCTGCCTAGCCCCTGGCAGGCTTCTCTCTCCAAGGGGCAGATATTGGCCATTAGAACAATTCTTGGATTCTTGGAGTCCTGGATTATGCCCGAGGATGTCTGGTTAGTGTGCCTACGTCACCCTGCCCTGTTGCAGAAAGCCTTCAGATTCTCTGAGGGACTCGTGAACCAACAGGTCAAGAGCCATCTGTATCTGAGCTGCAACTTACACAGCTATTGTTGTACATCTGAGCAGGGATTCTCTGCTCAAGCAGAGTTTCATTTCCTATAAGGGGGTAAAACCGCCTGAGCATACACAGAATGAGGAGGCCCAACTATAAAGTACAAATGCTAGTTGGTGGGATTACTGAAAGGGAGAAGGAGAACTGCCTGCAGGAGACCCACTCGTGAGGAAGGCCTAGCAGGGAGGAATGGCAGCTCCCCCATCCCGTGTCCCTCATGGCTGACTTCTGGAAGCCTTCTCCCCACGACTAAATGACCTGTTTGTTTTTGCAGGACAGGTTGCCTGGAAACGAGCTGTCAAAGGTGTGCGAGAGATGTGTGATGTGTGTGATACCACCATCTTCAATCTGCACTGGGTGTGTCCTCGGTGTGGGTTCGGAGTGTGTGTGGATTGCTACCGGATGAAAAAGAAGAACTGCCAACAGAGTGAGAACCGATTTGATTCTTCTGCCCAAACACACTTGGCTGCTTAGTGGCCAGCTTGTGGGGTCCACGGGGCTGAGGGTCTTGAAGGACAGGTCCTACAAAGTCCTTCTTCACAGGTGCTGCTTATAAGACCTTCTCCTGGTTAAGATGTGTGAAGAGTCAGATACATGAACCGGAGAACTTAATGCCCACCCAGATCATTCCTGGAAAAGGTATTCCACATGGCTAATGCTCTCCTTTCTCCTTGCGCTGGTCAAGGCAGAGGGGCTGGGTTTTACTCTGTAGTGTGAGTGCTCGCCTTGCTTCAGTGCAGGCTGTCAGTTACCCACAGTGCCTTCAGTGACGCTGCCAGTGCCTTTTGGTCAAGGCCTTAAGGCTGTTCTGTGCCTTTGGGGAGGCAGTGTGCAGGGTGGGAAGGCGGGGCTGCTGTGCGGCCTCCCTCGGCAGTCTGTGATGTGGATGTTCAAAGGGCCTGATACCCTTGTTCAGATGTGTGCCTTTGTGTCCCCCCCCCTTTTTTTTTTTAGCCCTCTATGATGTTGGAGACATTGTTCATTCTGTAAGAGCAAAATGGGGAATAAAGGCAAATTGTCCCTGTTCAAACAGGCAATTCAAACTCTTTTCAAAGCCAGCCTCAAAGGAAGACATAAAACAGGTATTGCTGCTTATGCTAGATTCACCCATCCTTGTGCTTGTTGTCTGTTTTGTAAATAACCCAGGGATTCCTACAGTGCATTTGAAAGGAGCTTGGGCACAGCTGCTTCATGCTACAGTTCAGAGAGCCACTCCCACAGTTCCCTTTTGTGGATCTCTTCCATGGCCTCTTTTGGTACTAAAGATGGTCTATTTTTCTTCCTTGAAAAAACAAAAATCTCTTTTATAGTCTGATATTTTGCTGTTGAGTTTTACATTATTTTTTTTTAAACTCATGTTTTACGGCAAAATAATCGGCTGAGCTTTAAAATATTTTAAATTACTGAATGTATTTATCTATATGTAAATTATTTAAAGGAAATGACAATGAAATGAAGCTTTTGTTATCTTTGTCCCAGGCCTCTTGTGGCATCCATCTCATTCCTGTGTCACATCTGTCCCTGTCTGTGTGTGTATATGTCTCACCCTGGTAGTCATGAGCCCACATTTGTTGTTAGTAATCAGAGATTTTTTTACTTTTTTTTTTTTAATTAATTACATTGCATTATGTGACAGTTTTGTAGGTAGGTTTTTACATTTTCATAAAGCATTGCCATTGAAGCAGCACGGGGGCAGCAGATGTTTTTCCAGTCAGAACTGAAGTAAGCTGTCCTGATACCTGGCGGCACAGAATTACATCACTGCTGCAGGCAGGCCTGGACCAACAAGCATTTGATACACTTGCCCCATATTCTCACATACGTATAAACTCGCCAGCCAGTCTTCAAGGCAGGTTTTTGGCTTTTTTACAGTGTTTACCTACTTATTTGAAAGAAAGCAAATTGACAGAAATCTTCCATGCACTGGTTCACTTTGCTTAGCCAGGAGCCAGGAATTCCATCAGTCTCCCACTTGCAGGACTCAAGTAGTTAAGCCATCACCTGCCCGCACACCACCTCCCAGGATGCACTCCGACAATGGGATGTGGGTGCGCTAAGCAGTAGTTTAATTTGTTTGACAGTGCCTGCTCCTGCAGCATTAAAAATATATACATGTAACAGAAATGCCTGAGCTTTCTGAGTTTTTTTTTTTCTTTTCAGTATATGATTGAGTTCTTTTAAGAGCTCCTCCTCTTTCTTAATGCTAACTGAAAAGCATTTTCCCCTTTTTTGTGTTCTGGTCCCTTCTGGAGGCATAGCTTTCTCTGTCCTTTTCCACCCTCATCCATTCATTCATTCATTCATTCATTCTGGATTCTGGGGTGAGTTCATCAGGGAGACAGGAACAAACTGGGCCGTTTTTAAAGCAGCACAGTACGGGGAGAGCTAGGGATGTGTGTAAAGCATGAGGCTGATGATGAAGAGGTAGCAGAAAAAGGTCTTGTTTAAATTGTCATTGTGTTTCAGGTTTTCATTAGTGATCCTTAGAAGTTAAAGTGAAAATCTTTCCTGCCTGGTAGTTCTGCCCTGTTGCTGCAGGATGATGCCAGCTGTGGTGGCATCCTGGGCTGTGTGTCAGGTGGCTTTATTTGGAATATTTCCCTCATGCTGTGGGCTGTTAGAGAAGGTATGGAAAGGAAATGTCATTCTGCAGCTGAAGTCAATGTCCCTTTGGTCTTCACACAGCCGCCCCCAGCTGGAGAAAAGCCGGCCGTGGGCGCCACGCTCCAGCAGAGCTCCCCGGTGCAGGAGCCAGCCGCCTTGGGGGCAGAAGCCGCCTCCAAGCCAGCAGGCAGTGGCAAGGCCACCTGTCCAGCCAGCCCATCTCCTTTAAACTGGTTGGCAGACCTGACCAGTGGCAACGTCAACAAGGAGAACAAGGGTGAGTATTATCCCTGCTTTGCTGTCTGTTCCTATGTGCTGTGGTCCACACAGGAGGGCTGAGCAGCCGTGGTTTGAGGCTCATGTAAAAGGAGTAAGTCGCAGTCCTGTCCCTGTCTCTATTCCATTTGGAAGAAGGGCCTCTGATCCGCATGGAAATCTGAAGAGAGAGCATTTCAAGCGTAATACCCTGTTGGTTTTTAAGAGTTGAGTGATAAAGCAAAAAAAAAAAAAAGTCTTGTGCAGTGAAAGTGGCTCCTTTAATCATTGTGGAACCTGCGCAAGTAAAAGTGGTTTTAAAATGCAGTGCCGAAGATGGTTTTTGGTGCCTGTGGAACACTGGGAAAGGCAGAGACTGGCAAGAACAGAGTGGGGCCAAGCTGGGACTCTATAGAACTAAGTCCACACCTTTCAGCCGTGTCCAAACCAGATTGTGCCAGTTTAGTTTTGTTCTTGCAATTACCTTGCAATGCTAATACTAACAGTATCGCCATAGAGAAATGTTATTGTTGGAAGAATTGTGCTTCCTAGTTCTGTTACAAGAGGAAAATAGGTGAGTTTTTTTCATGTAAAGATACTAAGCAAAATTTTAATGAATCAAATTTGATACCACTAATAAATATCTTGCATAGTATTACCAAGCAAGTTTTTCTAGAAATAGAGATAATGTATAGAGTTGTATAATATTAAAGGAAAAAATGTTAATATTTATTTTGAAAGTATCCTCTGTAAGAGAGAAAGAAAGGAAAATCTTCTTATTTCAGACGACTGCAATAGCCAGGCTGGGCGAGGCCCAAACCAGGAACCAGGATTCCTCTGGGTTTTCACAGGGATGGCAAGGGCCTAGGCACTTGGGTCATCTGTTCTCCCAGGCTGCTAGCAGGTTTGGAAGTGGAACAGCTAAGACTCAGTTTGGCACCCATACGGGATACTGGCGTTGTTACCTGCTTTGCCACAGTGCTGGCCCCAACAAAACACTTAGTTAAATGCCTACTTAGGATATTTTAAAAACTTGTAAGAATATAAGGAAACATCCCTAGTTGAGAATTTCTACAAAAACCTGATAGCAAACATCACAAATAGCAGTTGAATTTCTTTGATTACTTTTTAACAGTTTCCTCCTGGGTTCAGGGATGATGCAGGCATACGTGTTATCACTACTTCAGTAAGCATTGTGCCGAAGTCCAGGCCAGTGCAGCGAAGTCAGAGGAGGAAAAAGGGATAGGTGCTATAGCGCGGTTCACGACAAAGCTTAGGGTTACAGCACCAGCACTCCATGCGCATGCTGGTTCGTTTCCCAGCTGCTCCACTTCTGATCCAGTTTCGTGCTTACAGTCTGGGAAAGCAGCAGAGGGATGGCTTAAGTCCTAGGGCCCCTGGACCCCCTTGGGAGACCCGGAAGAAGCTTCTGGTCCCTGACTCCCGATTGACTCACCTCTGGCTGTTATGTCTATTTGGAGTGAACCACCCTCATCCCTTCCTCCTCCTCTTTCAGGAATTTTGCCTTTCAAATAAAAATAAAGTACATCCACTTAAATAAGAGACTGATATAATTATGATTTCTTATGAAGGACTATACCATTGTAGCTAAATGAGGAAAATCTGTCGAGGGGTGGGAGTTTGTGGGGAATCCCAGTCTATACGAAATTGTACCACATAATTCAAAAATTAAATAAAAATATTAAAAAATAAATAAAGTGCATATTTTTTTAGAAAGTAATAAAGTGGAGAAGTAATGCTATCAGTTCTTCGTAAACCATACATGTGAAAGCTGGAAAAGAATCTGCCTTCACTAAAAATGTCATCCAGGTTGCTAGATGCAAGGTCAGCTTTCAAAAGTCAGTTACGTTTATATTATCAGAAACAAATAGAAAATACAAGTTTTTAAAATACCACTTATTATAGCCAGTATTTGAATATTGGATACCTATTAATATCCATTGGGAATTACTTTCTAAAGTGAATCTGTTAGAAGATGCCAAATATGCCTTTCAGAATGATTTTTTCACGTTGATGTTTATTTTGTTTTAGAAAAACAACCAACAATGCCAATTTTAAAGAATGAAATCAAATGCCTTCCACCTCTCCCTCCCTTGAACAAATCCAGTACAGTCCTCCATACCTTTAACAGCACAATTTTGACACCCGTAAGCAACAACAATTCTGGCTTCCTCCGGAACCTCTTGAATTCCTCTGCAGGAAAGGTATGTTTTTGTTGTCATGTGTTCTCCACTTTGTGGAGTCGCACAGAAATAGAGCAGGCAGAGACGGTGGGAAGAAGGCCGCGAGCACCTGCTTGCTTTGTGGGCGGAGCCTGAGCACTGGCAGGTGGCCAGTACAGAGTACAGGATCAGTGCGCTGGACTGGGCCACTTTGTCCCAGTACATTTCTTCCTGTACCCACTTCTTAGGTAGGAGTAGGGGAGGGCTTGGCTTGTACTCTTCCTGCAGTTAAAGGAATGGAGTATTAATGGGCAGCACTATTTAAGATGCATGTTCTTTCTTAACTCCAGACAGAAAATGGACTCAAGAACACACCAAAAATCCTTGATGACATCTTTGCCTCTTTGGTGCAAAACAAGACTTCTAGTGATGTGGCAAAGAGGCCTCAAGGACTGACGATCAAGCCCAGCATTCTGGGCTTTGACACCCCCCACTACTGGCTCTGTGATAACCGCTTGCTGTGCTTGCAAGATCCCAACAACAAGAGCAACTGGAATGTGTTTCGGGAGTGCTGGAAACAAGGACAGGTAATGAGGCTTCTGCTTGTGCAGGCCGAGCGCTCCTCTCTCGGGTTGTCAGCACGCTTCTGAGAACCCCACGCCAGTTTCTCTAAGGATTTCATACTTCTCTGTTTGGGGCAGATAAACTTAGGGTGGGGTGTGGCCACTCCTTACTTGGAATGGCAAACTTTCCTGAGCTCTTTTTTTCCAGTGAACTTCTGATCACTTCCAACCAGTTGTCACTGGTTTTTTGACAAGAATATCCAGTCTTCGCGATCTTGCATTGCGAACTTGAATAGGGGAAGCGCATGTGTGCTGAAGAGGCCGGTGGGTGGCAGGAGTTAGACCAAAACTGAGATATAGTTGTATAGCTCTGGCTCCGTGTATTGTGGTAAAGGCAGTTTGAGCTGGGTGAGAGCCCTCTGATCATGAAATTCTGCTGCAGCCCCCCAGAGTGCTTGTTTCCTGTCATTAATTGGTTACTTATCAGAAAAGTAGAAAGGGGCAGCTTCCCTCCACTGGTGCATTCCCCAAGCCCCACTGTGCAACACCAAGGGGTGGGCAAATCCAATGCTAGGAGGAGTCAGGAAGCTTGTCTGGGTCTTTAAGAGTAGCATTGTGGGATCTAATGTTCTGGTTGCTATGCTTGTAGGTATGTTCCTGGGCTTTTGTATTATGGGTCTGTGTTTCGGTTCTTTGGCTGATCTTGTGGCCAGTGGTATGCCCTCTAAGGGAACACCTTGCTCCTGAACAAGAATTTGGGGGAACTACCAAATAGAAAACTGTTTTCATTCCTGTGTATAAAAGCAATTTGGTCATCTACTCATAACATATAGACACTGGAAGGTGATACGCTGCATATACCCTACCAGCAGCTCTTGTCTTATGTAAGAATTAAAAATCCAGCTATTTAACATCAAGATCAGGACTTCTGGCTTGGACCGGAAGCTTTGACCACAGAAGTGCTTTGCTGTCTGCCAAGAGTAGGCTGCAGGCAGAGGGGCAGCAGCACCGCCCTCGCTGTGGCTGGGCAGCTGCTGGTGGTCCTGGCCTCCATCACTTCTGCTGCCTGGCCTGGGCCTTGATGGGCGCTGCTCAGCAGGTCCTCCTATAGTATACTCACATGCAAGCAAGGGTGAGTAGCAGCTGAGCAGTGGGTTTAGAGCCACCATGGGAGGCCAGGAAAGCAGGCTGCTCCTTCACTCACCTGCCGAGACTGCGGGCAGAATGAGCCTGCAGTGCTGTGAAGAGGAACCGCCTGCGGACGCGGGCCGGGAGGGCAGAGTTGAGACTAACGTTCCCTCTCTTCTGTAGCCAGTGATGGTGTCAGGAGTGCATCACAAGTTGAACACTGAACTCTGGAAACCCGAATCCTTCAGGAAAGAGTTTGGTGAGCAGGAAGTCGACCTAGTGAATTGTAGGACCAATGAAATCATCACAGGAGCCACAGTAGGAGACTTCTGGGATGGATTTGAAGACGTTCCAAGTATGTATGAAAGATTTGCTGAAGAGAGGAGGCCATGGGGGGTCGTTTTCTAGACTTCGGAGCTTAGAGTTAGTGTCTGTCCTCCCCTTTTCACAGTTAAATGCTCTTGCACTGTGGCATTACTTTGTTATAAGTATCACCCAGAAAACAGAATGGGAGAGATGTTGGTCCTGGTAGTTACTCCCTGGACAGAAGAACAGTTATCTCAATTTCTCTCTGACCCAAACAAGTCGTTCCTCTTTCATGCTGGCCTCAGAAAATTGCATTTAATAAACACACGTGGCTTTTGATTGTTAAAGTGTTGTACTGTTGGTTAGTTTGGCTGCTTGCTTCTCCCAGAACATTGTTGGAACGCTCAATCTGAGAAAAATAGTTGTGGAAACCCCCTGCATGTCATGGGCAAAGGGGAGTAAACAGGAGCAGTTCACCAAGAGAGCATCTAGAAAAGAGAATGCTAAACAGACCACTTAGTTAATGATGTTTGCTTTGCTGCCTCTTCCTGCTTGCAGGGTATCAGTGGCAATACTCAATGTATCAGATTATGAAAATTCTGTAGAGATAAATATTTTATTTGCATCATGGAGGTGTAAACTGCTCATTTGTTGTCATTCTTTTTGTTTGATTATGAATAGCTATAATTCATGTATTCTGATTACCTTCAGATCGGTTGAAAAATGAAAAAGAACCAATGGTGTTGAAACTTAAGGACTGGCCACCCGGAGAAGACTTCAGAGATATGATGCCTTCTAGGTATGATAGGAATGTGGGGAGACACAGTTCTATTCGTAACTTGTAGGGTCCCTTTTCTGAGGCACTGAGATACTAGTTTTCTGGGAAATATGAAAGTTTAATAGTTTTACTGGTGCGGATTTTTTCATTTCTGGTTGGTAACTTTTGGGGAGGTTGCATTTTTTTCCTTTTAGTTTTATTTATTTGAGAGCAGAGTTCGAGGTCTTCCATCCACTGGTTCACTTCCCAAGTGGCTGCAGCAGACATTTTCCACTGGTCTCCCGGGTACACTAGCAGGGAACTGGACTGGAACAACTGTTGCCAGTGGGCTGCTGGTATCACAGCAGCGGCTTAACCTGCCAAGCCACAGTGCCAACCCTGAGGTGTGTATTTTTAGTGAGATGAGGATCTGACTTTTACATCTGGCTAAGGAAAGTGACATACATTTTCCAATTGGTTTTATGCCAGAGAACAGGCTGACTTGAACTGGCAAGGCTGTTTGGAGACAGTCGTGGGTTCAGATGTGTCAGAGTCCAGTCTATAAGTAAAAGTCACTGAGTTAAGACAAGTTATCTGAATTGGGAAATCCCTTTTTCTGGTTTTGAGTTTGAAACTGAATAAGATCCTCACAGCTGATGCATTATGTAACCTTGGGTGTCACTTCCTATCAGTTACTCATTGCCCAGCTCTTTTACTTGAAATATTTCAGATCATTTCACACATTTGTGTGGTTTAGCAAAGAGTGTAGCTTTTTTGGTAACTACTGTAATTCTAAGCTTATTAATGATTTCCATATCCATGATCACAGATACATTCCTTGTAGCATGTAAGGAACAAAGCAAGTCAGAAAATCCTGCATTTGAAAGGAAAGCTTGATTTGCAAATTTCCTGTTTTCCTGTCCTAGGTTTGATGATCTGATGGCCAACATTCCATTGCCAGAGTATACACGGCGAGATGGCAAGCTGAATTTAGCCTCCAGGTTGCCAAACTACTTTGTCAGGCCAGATCTGGGTCCCAAAATGTATAATGCTTACGGTAAGAGAAACAGCTATCTTTATAAAAATTGTAATGGAAGTAAAACAAGTCAGATATTTGAAAAAATCTGTTTTTTGGATCATACTCCTAATGCTTGGCACAGAGGCAGCCTTCATTCTGCGTACTCCCCTGTTCTTGGCCACAGGTATGTGCCTTTGCTTTTCACAGCTGAGCTGTAGGACGTGCAGTTTTTTTCTCTCTTCTACACATAGTTTTATGTTACAAAACATTTCTGTATTGTTTAAGACTTTGTACATAGTTTTTATTGGTTCATGGCATATCATTGAATATGGCTTTAGTCATTTCTGTATTTTGGTTTGTCTGGTAGCACTCCGACTATTTTAACATCTGCACTTAAACACAGTGTTGTGTTGGTGAGTAGAAGCTAATCACTTAATCTGTATTAAAAATAACATTGGAAGTCAGTTTTTGTTGCCTGGATACAACTCAGTAGGCTGTCTTAACAGAATTTCTGGGATAAAAGATTGGCTCTTACATGTGCACCGTCTTCCTCCAGGGTTATCATTGTGCCCTCAGCCACTTACCACATGCTCTGTAATTAGGCCTGGATCATAGTAGGCCATGTGGAAATAGGTTAACAATTTATTGTTAAATTCTAGTTTGACTTTCAGTCAATTCTGTGTATACTATCTGTTTTTCCAGGCCTACTGGAAATTAGTTTGATTTTTTCTTTTTTCCTTCCTCCTGCAATTACTTCTTCATCACCTTTCGGTGGTCTCAGACCTGAAGGTGACAGTTCTGCTCTTGGTGTCTTGGTCATGCTCTCCAGCCGTGGGAAGGGTGGCAGGGCGCCCAGCAGGGATGTGATCTCATTGAGCCCTGCCTGTGTTGTGGCCCATGCTGTGCCCCTAGCCAAGGGCCTTCCTCCATGTTCCTCAGAGCCTGTTGACATGAAGGCTTGTGATGATTTTGTGTATAAGGAAGCATTTTCCCTCTAGGGTCAGTGACATAGTATCGCATGGTGAGCATCAACCCATTCTTTGTAGTGATCATGGAGCTTCAGGGTGAGAGTGGTTATCAGACACTTTCAAATCAAGCTACTTGGCTTAAGTAGCTTGGCTGCAGGTCTTTCCTTTAGCCAGAATAGATGGCAGTGTTATTCTATAAAAGCTTCCTGTGACAAAATTGTTTCCATCCAGAAGCAAGCCTTTAGGTTGAAAATATTCAAAGTGGTTATTTTTGAAGATTGACTGATGGGCTTGTGGCATCCTCAAAGTGGAGTGCACGGGTTCTTTGGGGAGGCCATAGTAGAGCCTCTCTCCAGCTCCAGGTGTACCCCCAGTTTTAAAAATACACCTAGAATTTCAGATAATAGAAGGGAGTGGCCAATGGCAGGTGTGAGATGAGAACATTGGAGTTTGGTTTTCAACAGGAAGCGTGTTTTCCTGGAGGATACTCTGTTGTCTTGGTTCCCTTTGCGTTCTGGCTTCTTAACAGTAGATTACTGCTTTGATCAAAGTGCAGCAGCCTGTGGCTAGGCTAGCATCCAGACAGACTGGGTCAATGGCTGGCTGGCGTTGTTTCTCTCTGTCTCACACAACATTTGTTTCATCCACTGTAGCCTGACCAAGCCAGCAGGCAGACCCTGCTGAGGCCTGGTGTCTCCCCTCTCCTGCCCTCCCTCCCCCTGAAGGCTATGCTCATCACTCCGGTGTGCTCAGGATTCTAGCACTTCTGTTAGCTTCCTTGCATACTGCCCTTCCAGTTAGTAACCTGCTTTTGAGCTTACAGTATCAGACTTTTTAAAACATGTATGCTGTTGGGTATAACTGTCCACAAGGTTTATTGTAAGTTTTACTTTTAGGGGATGTTTGGCATAGTGGTTAAAATGCCATTCTGCCTTTCCAATAAACATTTTTTTTTTAAGATATATTTTTATTGGAAAAGCAGATATACGGAGAGGAGGGGAGACAGAGAGGAAGATCCTCCATCCGATGATTCACTCCCCAAGTGACCACAATGTCCGGAGCTGAGCTGATCTGAAGCCAGGAGCTTCCTCCAGATTTCCCATGTGGGTGCAGGGGCCTAAATACTGGCCCCATCCTCCACTGCTTTCCCAGGCCACAGGCAAGGAGTTAGATGCAAAGTGGAGTAACTGGGATACGAACTGGCACCCATATGGGATCCCAGCACATATAAACCGAGGACTTTAACCATTAGGCTTCCATGCTGGACCCAAACACTGCAAATTTTTTTTTTAAGACATTTTAAAAATTTTCTTGAAGTCAGAGTTATAGAGATTGAGGGAATAGAGAGCTCTTCTTCCGCTGGTTCACTCCCCAGATGGCTAAATGGCCAGTGCTGGGTCAGGCCAAAACCAAGAGATTCTTCTAGGTCTCCCTAATTGGGTGGCAGGGGGCCAGATACCTGGGCCATCTAATGCTTTTCTCAGGCCATTAGCAGAGGTGCTGGGTCAGAAGTGAAAGAGCCATGACACAGATTGGCACCTACTGCAGGCAGAGGCTTACCTCTGTGCCACAAGGTCTGCACATTTGGAAACCTAATGCAGTGACTCCCCATTTATCCATTACTCAGTTAAAAACAGCCATTCACTTCAGGACAGTGGAGCGGCCAGGGCTGGAACCAGTGCCCATATGGAATGGGCTGGCAGACATAAGATTAGCTTTTTGAGCCACCGGGCCAGACCAAGGCCAGGAGCTTGTGGTGTAGTGTGTTAAGCCTCTGCCTGTGAGCCAGAAACTCAGTCTGGGTCTCCCAAGTGGGTTGCAGGAGCCCAGTGTTTGAGGCATCTCCTGCTGCCTGCCAGGGTGTACATTGGCAGGAAGTTGGAATCAGAATAATCCCTGGTGCTTTGATATGGGATGTGATCATCTTGACCACTTCGCCGAGACACTTACATCTCATATGTCCTGTGATTTCACACAGCACAGGGCACTTTCCGCAGCTGGCCTGTGTGCAGGGTGGCCTCTGTTTGCCCTCTCTGAGCGATGCTTCCCCTTCCTTTCCAACCTGAGGAGCACCGTCACAGCAGGATGAGCACCGAGGCGGTTATGGGTGGACCTTCTAGTTAGAGCTACAGACTAGAGCACTTGATGCAACCTTTCTCTCTCGCTGTCATAGATGGCAGCTGGCAAGGAGAGCACTTTTCCTTTTACAGTTAAGAAAACCAAGGAAGGTGCTGGGCACTGCTTCCACTTAGACTGAGTGTGGCCAGTAGAGGCCCCAGCTCTAGGCACAGGTGGGTGATAGGTTTCTACTAGACTCGCAATTAAAAAAAAAAAAATATATATATATATGTAATATATATTATTTTGCTTGAAAGGCAGAGTGATAGAGAACTGGTCCACAAGGCCAGGTCAAAGCCAGCAGCTCTATGTTAGCCTCCCATGTGGCCTCATCTTCCGCTTCCCAGGCACATTATTAGCAGGACCTGGATTGGAAGCAGAGCCGCCAGGATTTGAACCTGCCTTTGGATAGGGGATACTGACATTGTGGGTGGTGGTATAACCGACTACTCTTCTGTATTTCCAATCTTGTGTTGGATCTTGGGGCATAGTTTTATTATGCCTTAGAGCCTTCCTAAGCTGAGAAAATACCCTTTCGGCAAATCCTAGCCTTGGATTCACTGCCCTGTCTGCCTTCTAGTTTTTGGCTTCCAAGTATTCCTTCCTTTCCAGAACATTTAAAACTTTTTGATGTCTATCAGGGACCTGTTCTACCTGTCACCAGAAATAGGAGTCTTTTTTTTTTTAAGAGATTTATTTATTTGTTTTTAAAGATTTATTTTTGGAACAAGTCAGATATACAGAGAGGAGGAGAGACAGAGAGGAAGATCTTCCGTTCGATGATTCACTCCCCAAGTGACCGCAACAGCCAGTGGCTGAGCCAATCCAAAGCCAGGAGTTTCCTCCTAGTCTCCCACATGGGTGCAGGGTCCCAAGGCTTTGGGCTGCCTCAACTGCTTTCCCAGGCCATAAGCAGGGAGCTGGATGGGAAGCGGGGCCGCCAGCATTAGAACTGGCAACCATATGGGATCCCAATGCGTTCAAGGCGAGGACTTTAGCTGCTAGGCCAACACGCCGGGCCCAATCGGGACTGTGTCAAAATGGAAAGGACAGGAGAACTTGATATCACACATTGTTCCCTTCCTTTTGCATAAATGGAGTGAAGTTTTGACTCCTGGTTAGTGGGAGAGACAGCCTGCATTTTCAGTGGATTAAAGGCATTTTCTTTGCACAGGATTGATCACTCCAGAAGATCGGAAATACGGAACAACAAATCTGCACTTAGATGTGTCTGATGCAGCCAATGTCATGGTGTATGTGGGCATTCCCAAAGGACAGTGCGAGCAAGAGGAAGGTATGCTGCTGAGGATAAATATGGGGCTGGCTAACTGGGCTGGGACCTGAGGTCTCACATTTGCTTTCTCTCTCTCTAGAAGTCCTTAAGACCATCCAAGATGGAGATTCCGATGAGCTCACAATAAAGCGATTTATTGAAGGAAAAGAGAAGCCAGGGGCCCTGTGGCACATCTATGCTGCCAAGGACACGGAGAAGATCAGAGAATTCCTCAAGAAGGTGAGGAGAGGCACTCTAGCATGTGCTAAATGCATGTCGTGGACTGACTGGCTTGTGGGGGAGGCTGTCACATCCCGGAAAATTGAATGGGCATGTCTGAGTGGGCAGTCTGCAGTGACTCTTCGAAAGTGGTGGCCTGCCTTTATCTGCTCCACGGTGCATTTGAAGATTTTTTTTTTAAAGATTATTTATTAAATTGAAAGGGAGAGACAGAGAAAGTTGTCTATCTGCTGGCTCACTCCTCAGATGGTCACGATGACTGGGTCAGGCCGGGCCAGGCCAGAGCCAAGAGTACTCCATCTGGCTCTCATGTGGCTGGCAGGGCCTAAGCACTTGGGCCATCTCTTGCTCTCCCCGGTGATTTTAAAGGGACTCATGGAAGTGCTCCCATACCAGATGCTGGTGTTGTAGATGAGAGCTTAGCCCTACACTGCACCAGCCCCAGCTTCTATTTTATTGCCTTAAAAGTTTGATCACTTTAGGGGCAGGCACCAGTGTCCCATATGGGGTGCCAGTTCAAGTCGTGGTGGCTCTACTTCTGATGAGCTCCATGCCTGGGCTCTTCCACTTATGTGGGACACCCAGAAGCTGCTCCTGGCTTCAGGTCGGCCCAGCTGTAGCCATTGGGGACATTGGGGAGTGAGTAAATCGGTAGATGGGAGATCTTTCTCTGTGTAATTCTACTGAAAAGTCTGAGGATTGTTGCACAAGATCTCTGTATTTTGGGCAGTTGGAAAAGGGGGAGCATCTTTAGTTTGAACCCTGTTAGATCTCCTCGGCTGACAGGTAGCAGTCATTGACAAAGGGGGATGTTGCTGTTGCCTGGCACCTCAAGGAGTGTGTGTGAGTCTAGGTGCTTCTGAGCAAGGCCCTTGAGTCTATGCTGTCCCAGCTTCAGAAACTAGGATAAGGGCCCAGTGCGTTGGCTTAGTGGCCAAAGTCCTCGCCTTGCATGCGCTGGGATCCCATGTGGGCACCGGTTGCAACCCCGCTTCCCATCCAGCCACCCTGCTTGTGGCCTGGGAAAGCAGTTGAGGACAGCCCAAAGCCTTGGGACCCTGCACCCTTGTGGGAGACCTGGAGGAAGTTCCTGGCTCCTGGCTTTGGATTGGCTCAGCCACTGGCTGTTGCGGTCACTTGGCGAGTGAATCGTTGAACGGAAGATCTTTCTGTCTCTCCTTCTCTGTATATCTGACTTTGTAAAACAATCTGTAGCTATTTGGGGATAAAGAAATAAATAATCTAGCTATTTGGAGAATTATTTCATAACTCAAATGGTTGTTTTCTTGCCTAGAAAGCAACACATAATTTCTAAGAAGCTTGAGCTAGCTGACATTTAAACACCCAGAACTAAATTTTGTTCAAGTCCTCTTTGTGCAAAATATTCAGAAAGTGCCAGTCCTAGCGTGTACGAGGCAACAGCAGGGCTGCCCCATTTTTGTTGGTTGAGTTCCCGTCCATGAGAACTGCTCACCTTGAGTGGCGGCCCTGAGCTGGAAGGCCAAGTGCTCGGTGGCTGCCAGCCCTGGGGGAGAGCCCACCGCCTTCCACTGCTCGGCTGCACAGGGGTCCTTGCTCTGTTCCAGGTATCAGAGGAGCAAGGTCAGGAAAACCCTGCAGACCATGACCCTATTCACGACCAGAGCTGGTACTTGGACCGATCCCTGCGAAAACGTCTTCAGCAGGAGTATGGAGTTCAAGGCTGGGCCATAGTACAGTTTCTCGGGGACGTCGTGTTCATCCCGGCAGGAGCACCACATCAGGCAAGAGCCGCCGCTGCGCTGTCTGTGCTCCCCATATGCCGCCGGTCCTGGGGCTGGCTGGCTGATGGCATTTGGTGTTTTCCAGGTCCATAATTTATACAGCTGTATCAAGGTCGCGGAAGATTTTGTGTCTCCGGAGCATGTGAAACACTGCTTCTGGCTCACTCAGGAATTCCGTTACCTGTCTCAGACTCACACTAACCATGAAGACAAGTTGCAGGTAACAAGAGCACTGCGTGCTGCAGCCTCCGCTCTGGGCAACAGGACGCTTGATGGTTGCACATAGAGTTGTGGCATCTAGTTCCATGATCTCATGTGGAGGAGGAACAAATTTCATCCTGAAAGTGAGATCTGATTTCTTAGTGGCTCTGCTGCCAGCCAGGGTTTTTGTTTTAGATGGAATGATCTGAAAGGTGGAGGGGCGGATCTTCCACCTGCTGCTTCTCTCTCCAAATGTCCATTGTCTGGCCAGGCCTCCCATGTGCGTTGCCTGGGTCCATTAACTCTGCATGCAGTAGATTAACCCACTGTGGCACAACAGCATCCTTCCCTCCCTCCAGGGTCTTGAGCACTGTGTTTAACCTTCAGTGCTGCCATGTCTTTGGAGACCTGAGGTGGCATGCAGTGAATCTCCGGGAATGAAGGGGCGGTAATGATGCCATGTTTGCTGCACCTGGGCATCTGCCTGAGGGACAGGGTGCCGTGACCGCCAAGCTGCAGAGAGGAGCTGGGTGTTCCAAGTGTCCGTCCCCACCTCTCCGCCCCATGCTGTAAGCTGAACCTACAGTACCGGCCTTTCCTGACTCGGGTGCCGTGCCCAACACCCAGTTCTAAGTTCTGACAGGAAGTGAGAAATAAAATATAGTGGGAAAGTCTATTCCTAAAGTGACAGATTTTTATATCTTATGCTCCTGTTTGATGTTTTTTTTTTAAGGTGAAGAATGTTATCTACCACGCAGTGAAGGACGCAGTTGCTATGCTGAGAGCAAGCGAGTGCAATTTCAGCAAGCCTTGACCCCGCACACTGCAAGGACGTTCCCGGCAGCTGTTCACTCTTCAGGCAGGCTTCCTGTGGACTCAGACTCATGTTACCTCATCACCTTTTTTAAACTGTACCCAACCTCAGTCTAATGTATATTTCTAGTGTTTACAGACACTAAGTGTGTATATGGAGGAACTATTTACAGAATATGCATCCAAAAACTGTGACTTTTCTCACCTAGTGCAGAACTTTGACCAAGCTGTAAAACAGAACCTCTTAGCGGCGCTGCGCAGGCCCTGCTCCGCCAGCGTGGCCTCAGCTGTCAGAGCCCTGTGCGGTCACACGGCTGCCCTCCTCTCCCGTCTCACCACCCTCTCCTGCACCCCTGGGCGTCCTGAAGAGCCATGGAGAAAGTGATTGCTAATGATGCAGTTCTTACTGTGTTGCATAGGACTGGCATTATATAGCAGAAACCAACTACTGTACAATTAATTTTTGGGGTTAACCATCTTTAGTTAAATGGAATTTTAATTTAAATGAAGCTTTGCTAATTTTAAGTGTTAAGCATTTTGCATTAAAATATTCATATAATATTTTAGCTCAGCTTATGGTGTTATCCTCTGGTTTGTGTATTCAGGACACCTCTTGTCAAATCAGATGTACGGAAATATTTTAAAAGCAAAGACATTAATTAGGGGGTTTAGTGTCTCTTAGATAAATGTCAACATGAAAATATTCACCCAGCTAGGTGGAAACTCTTGTCAAACTTATACAAAGAAACACTATCATTCATTACTTATACAGATATACCAGAAAGCCAAATAGGCACCAGGTTCAGTAAGTCACAAAAACCTTGTCAGCCTTTTATAATATACTGAGTGTATATACAAAGGAAACATGTCAGAAATGTTAGAATTATACTACCTGCAGTGTCAGTGAAGAACATCCACCAAGTGCCCGGCCTGGGTGCTGCACGGACTGTCGGAGGCCAGGAGAAGCTGGAAACGTTGAAATCAGGATATAAATAAGTAAATCTAGGAGCCTGGTATTTTATCCATGCCACCCAAGTCGGGGACCCAAAAGGGTTGCAGCCTCCTGGCTTCAGTGTGAGCCAGCCCCGCTGTGAGGGCCCCTCGGAGTGAAGCAGCAGCTGGGCTGCCAAGGATTCCCCAGGTCCTTGTAAGGATTAGTCTAGAACTTTCAAATTGCTTTATAGAGTTTGAAGATACTGTAATGAATACTTACTCTGAATTATGTTTAAAGAAATGATTGTGGAAACAAACGTAAAATTATTTCAAAAAATCTTGTGGGAAATGGAATTAAAAGTTTGGTGCAAAAGAATTTAAATCCATGCGTACAAGGGATCTTCAGAAAGCTCATGGGAACTGGATATTTTTCACACCCAAATAGACTTTAATTCTACTTCCCATGAACTTTTTAAAATACCCTGATATGAATCATAGGCTAAAATTAGAAATCTCCCACAGATGGGACGAAAGTTTGGTTGGCTAGAAAAAAAATACAACATGAGAAGACATGAATTTATGAAGAAAACAGAAAAATTAGGTTTAAGTGGTGCTAGAGCTATAGGAATTGGGGTTGGGAGAAATGATATTCACACTGCTTAGGCATCAGACTGATTGAAGTGCCGCTAACAAGGCTAAGTGCAGAGCTCCACTCTGTGAAATACACCGTCATCCTGTAAGATGACCAAGCAGGTGACTAGATCTGGGATTTTTGGCTTTCTGGAGGCACAGCAGCTATGCAAATTTAGTAAGAAAGTGCTTAACCTTCTGAATGTGGCTAGCAACATGGATGCACCAAGACTCCACGCCAGCAGTGTGATGGTTGCGAGATGAGAAGGTCGGTTCTCTGCTCCGTGTGGCGTTGCCAAGCTGGAGCATCCACGGGACGCTAGGTATATGAAATGCAGTTTTTAGTATCTTCAACAACGGGTATCGTGGAGTCTAACCCCATTCCGTGGAGGCTGTAGGTACTTAGCAGCAGCTAAAAGGGAGGAAAACATGGTTTTCAAAGACTCGACGAGGCTGCTGACTCACTCACCAACGCCAGCAGTAGAGGTCAGGAGTAGGTGCTGGGCTCTGGGCTAGCAACACACCTGCTAACAGGTCTGGGACCTGCAAAATTATTTTCCATGCTGTTACATTTCAAGACAGACCCTTGCTGAAAGAACTTTAAGAATCTCCTTAGGAAATAAAATTCTATCATGCTGGAAAAAATACTACACAGGGAAAATTCTAACCTCTGATGAAACAAAAGCGGTATAAAAGTAAGTGCTTTTAGAAATGTAGATAAGCTCTGCTACAATGTGGCCCAGCCTTAAAAATAAGCTAAGTGAAATAGGCTGGACACAAAAGACAGTGGTTCACTTACATGCAGAGATGAAGAGTAACTGACAGTTACAGACTGGGGAGGAGGAGGGGGAGTTACCATTTAACATAGTCTACTGGGTAAATGAACAAGTTCTGCAAATGGACAGCTCTACAGCATTGTAACTGTGCCAAACACCATTAAGCTATACCCTTTAAAAAGCTAAGTCATAAATTTTATGTATGTATATATTACAATAAAATACCTCCTAAGTAGGAAAAAAACCTTTGGAGTTGAATGAGAATATGATACTTTGAAAGAAAAAGGTGATGAAATAAAAAGTCAGTGGGACAGGTTCTGAGCTGGCTGTTAAGGCACCACGTGCCATATCCAACTCCCGACTTCAGCTTCCTGTTAATACTGACTCCCAGAGGCAACTGAGGCTCAAGTAGGTAGGGCACCCCCAGGGAGACCTGCACTCAACTCCCAGCCTGTGGCCTTCGCTGGATGGGCAGGAGCAAAGCAGGAGACCACTGTGATTCTTCTGCTTTTTTTTTTTTGCGGGGAGGAAAAGGTGGATGGTACAAACACAAATGTGTTTTTTGTAAATATTCCAGTAATAAATTACAAACCAACTGACCAGATTAGAAGCTTGACTAGGTTAAAAGTGAAAGTGAAGAAAAAAAATATGCAAACTAATTATATGAAAGCAAAGTATGGTTATATTAATATCAAAAGTAGATTAAGACAATAACTGGAAAGAAAAAACTCCCTGATAAATAAGAACCAATTCAGCAAGAAGATTAGCATAGTGGCTAAAGTCCCTTACACGTGCCAGTGGGCACCAGTTCATGTCCTAGCTGCCCCGCTTCCCCATCCAGTTCCCTGCCTGTGGCCTGGAAAAGCAGTAGTGGATGGCCCAAAGTCTTGGGATCCTGCACCTGTGTGAGAGACCCAGAAGAGGCTCCTGGCTTCAGATCAGCTCCATTGCGGTCACTTGGGGAGTGAACCAGCAGATGGAAGATCTTCCTCTCTGTCTCTCCTGTTTGTGTATCTGCCTTTCCAATAAATATAAATCTTTTTAAAAAATCCTATATAGGTGTGCACTAATAGCACTCCAGAATAGTACAAGGTTCAACAAAGGGGAAATACCTGGTCCCTGCTGGAGACTAACACTTTTTTAAAACGGATAAGGCGGGCCCGGCACGATAGCGTAGTGGTTAAAGTCCTTGCTTGCATGAGATCCCGTATGGGCATCGGTTCTAATCCCAGCAACCCCGCTTCCCATCCAGCTCCCTGCTTGTGGCCTGGAAAAGCAGTTCAGGATAGCCCAAAGCCTTGGGACCCTGCACTAGTGTGGGAGACCCGGAAGAGCTCCTGGATCCTGGGCTTGGATTGGCACAGCCACTGGCTGTTGCGCTCACTCAACAAAAAAGGAGGAAAAGATACATGATATAAAACACAAAAAGATACAAAGCAAAAATCAGTGATACAGGAAACAAGGATATACAGAGTTTTCCAAAGACTACAGTTAAGTCTTTCATGAGGTTGATGGGAAAAAATTAACCCCAGATTCTATGGACATTCAAAGAATGAGACACTGTGAAAAATTCAGTGACTTGAAGAATATGGAGATAAACTCTCACAAGCTTCAGAAACAAGCCAGAAACCCATCTTCATAGTTGCAGCTCTGTAGTTAAAATGTCCTTGGCCCAGTGTTTTCACTGACAGGTGCTTTTACCAGTATTATAGAACAGCAACCAGTATTATAGTCTCCACCCCCATGCCAAGGCCACTTGGCCTTCCTGCTATTCTCACAAGATACTTGAGGCTGAGTAATGTACAAAGTCCAGCTCCAGTGACCAGGCTATTTGTTGCTCGGCCAGAAGGAGGGCTTTTGCTCCAATTTCCAGTTTTAGTCTCCTGAAGTGCTCCTTACCACATTCACTCACCATGCTGCTGACGGCAATACCCAGGTTTTCTGCCGCCTTTTCCAAGCTCTCCCGACCTTTTCCCATTACCCAGCTAAACCTTTCCACATTTTCAGATATCGAGTTACCAACAGCTCTATTGCTTTGTTTCATACTGGTGCTATGAGACCATTTTCTGTTGCTGTAACAGAATATTTGACTCTGGATTCTTAAGAAAATGTTTTTGAGGGCCCAGCACAATGACTCAATGACTAAATCCTCACCTGGCAAGTGCCAGGATCCCATAGGGATGCTCCACTTCCCATCCATCTCTCTGCTTATGGCTTGGGAAACAGTGGGGGATAGTCCAAGCCCTTGGGATCCTGTACCCATAGAAAAAGTTCCTAGCTTCTGGTTTTCTGATCAGCTCAACTCTTGCCATTATGGCCATTGGGCAGTGAACCAGCTAATGCAACACCTTCATTCTGTCTCTCCTCTCTGTGTGATCTGCCTTTGCTATAAAAATAAATCTTAAAAGAAAAAAAGAAAAGAAAAACGGAAAATTTGCAGAGGCCAGCACCAAGGCAGAGCAAGTTAAGCCTCAGTTTGCAGCACTGGCATCCCATATGGGCATCAGGTCTAGTCCTGGCTGTTCCACTTCTGATCCAGTTCCCTGTTTATTGCATGGGGAGGCAGCAGTCTTGGGCCTCTTGTAACAGACCTGAAGGAAGCTCCAGATTGGCCCAGCTCCAGTCACTGTGGCCACTTGAGCGTGAACCAGTAGACGACAGATCTCTGTCCTCTCTGTAACTCTGCCTTTTAAGTAAAAACATATTTTTGAAAATACTTTTGTTTTTAAAAGTCAGATTTACAGAGAGGAGGGACAGAAAGATCTTCTATCTGTGGGTTCACTCCCCAAGTGGCCACAGTGGCTAGACCTGAGCCAATCTAAGCCAGGATCTTCCTCCAGGTCTCCCATCTGGGTTCAGGATCCCAAGGTTTTGGGCTATCCTTTAGTGCTTTCCCACGCCACAAGCAGGGAGCTGTAAGGCAAGTGGAGCAGCTGGGATACAAACCAGTGCCCTGCGCCCGGCGCAATAGCATAATGGTTAAGGTCCTCGCCTTAAACATGCTGAGATCCCATATAGGCACCGGTTCTAATCCTGGCAGCTCTGCTTCCCATCCAGCTCCCTGCTTGTGGCCTGGGAAAGCAGTCGAGGATTGCCAAAGCTTTGAGACACTGCATCCGCGTGAGATACCTGGAAGAGCTGGTTCCTGGCTTCGGATTGACTCAGTACCAGCTGTTGTGGTCATTTGGGGAGTGAACCATTGGAAGGAAGATCTTCCTCTCTGTCTCTCCTCCTCTCTGTATATCTGCCTTTCCAATAAAATTAATAAATCTTAAAAAAAAAAAACAGTGCCCATATGGGATCCTGGGGCATGTAAGGTGAAGACTTTAACCACTAGGGCACTGCACCTGGCCCATCAAACAAAACTTTTTAAAAAACTACATTGCTCACAGTTTTGAAGGCTGAACATCCAGGGTTGAGAAGCTCTACTGATTCAGTGTCAGGTGAAGGACTTCTGGTGACATCAGAACATTGCAGATGGCATCACGGCAGGAATGTATGAGAGAAGAGAGCAGTCATGAGACAGGTCACTGTCCAGGATCCCCAGTGACCCAAACCCCTACCATTACATCTCACCTCTTGGGGCTGCCGCCTACAATACTGGCAGCCCATACGGGCACTGGTCCGGGTCCACTTCCAGTCCAGGTTCCTGCAATGCACCTAGGAAACCAGCAGATGACGGCCCAAATGCTTGGTGCCTTGAAACAAGGTCTCACCTTCAAGCACTCTTTACACAAAGACCATCCTTAATTCATTCACCAGTAATACAAAAGTTTCAAGGACCAAACCCCTAACATATGAGCCTCTGGAGAAACAACAAACTAAATTCAGCATTTCAGTTTGACAACGATTCAAAAATCCTCAGCAAGAGTTGCACATTCTCTCATATCAGTATCTACAAAGATACACATAGCCCCAAAGAGACACACAAATACAACATGATCATATAGGGGTTATCCTGGGAATCAGAAAGACGGGTTTAACATTTGAAGATCAAATTAAGACAAGTCAGCGGAATCAGGGAGAAAAAATGCATTATTTCAACAGATGGGAGCTGGATGGGAAATGGAGCTGCTGAGATTAGAACCGGTGCCCATATGGGATCCCGGAGCGTTCAAGGCAAGGACTTGAGCCACTAGGCCACGCCTCTGAGCCCAGTTCCAGCTTTTTTATGTGGCTCATTTATACTTCTGAAAATTCTCATTGTGTTCACACAGCCTTCCTGATTTCACCACTCCAGGTTTTAGGCAGCCTGTCTTCAGGATTCAGCAGTCATGTTTTGCTATAGTACTATGTGTTGCTTTTCTCCCACAGAAGTTCCAGGTTAGGTAATCCAGAGATGAACACTGTGTTGGTCCCCAATACAGATCACGACAGGCAAACATGGCCTTTTCAATGGGCTGCTGGCTACAAGCTGCCGAGCTGCTGTGTGCAGGTAAGGTAGGTAAAAATGCCACCAAGCTCTCTTAGTATTTCGGTTCCTTTTTCTAGTCATCATTTGCTGGACTGCTGTGCACCCGTCTTTCCAAAGTTCTGACAACGTGGGTTCTAGCACTTTTTGGTTTTCATCTTTCTCTGCAGGGATGGGGATTTTACCATTTTGCTCATACCCCGCATTTCTGAGACAGCAATAATGTATAGAAATTCCTTAGCCTGAATTAAGGCATTTCCCTACTAGGGCCTATTAGACTTGCATTTCTGAAATGATTTGGGGCTGGGAATTGTTTATACTGTTACCACCAAACTTGTTGGTCAAACAGAGAAAGAGGATATGAATGGTTGTAAGACGCTAATAAGAAACCTGTTTGATTTTCACCAAAATTTCTAAGTTTATTTCATTGTGAGATCCCATTTTACAGGCCTCAGAGGTTAGCTACTGACAAGACCAGCCACCAGGACAGCCCGAGAAGCAGCCTCAGAGCCTCCGATGGTAAGCTGCTGTTCTTTTCCCACAGTTGTTCTATTAACTGCTGTTTACAGGGTTGAGGAGGGGCAAGGGCAGTGATCAACCATGTTTGAAAACTCCCTTTCTGGACCTTGAAACAAGAACACAGAGTCCCCAAGGGCATGTAGGCTATTAACTGCGCTCACCAGGAACAGTGGCTGGGGCAGGGAAGGCCTGGCAACAACCGGCCCAGAGTGAGCTGCTGGATGACCATAGCAAGCCAGAAAGTGGTTTCTCAAGAATAAACTGCACTTGAAAACCAACCGGGTTGCTAACAGAACAACAGTTGTGTGTGCCTTAGGGACTGACTGAGTGGCTCTGGCAGGGTCAGGTGAGATGATACTGGGATGAAATGGGTCAGACCACCTGAGGCAGAGACAAAGTTGACAGGCTGAGCAATCTTCTATGGCTAAGACAGTATCTGGCCCACTTTGTTTCAAATGGTGTCTGATAGTCTCTGAGAGTTAAATAAACACCTGGCAATAAGCTCAAAATGCTTTACTCAGCTTGAAAACGGGAAATAAGCATGACTTCTCCAAAGATTCAAAACCAGTCAACTCTGTTCAGGCCATCTGATTTGAATGTGGAGCAAGGCTGTCGTTATTGACGGGCTGTCCAGCTGCTCAGTGAACAAAGTCTGATTGTCATATAAGGAAAAAAACCACTCATTCTACAATCTCAATAGCCAATGAAAAAAATTAGCAGGACTGGATTAACTGCAACCACGAAACAGTAACAGTCAATACTGCAGGTATGTCAGTTCTGTGCAACTGGACTCCAGGCATCTCAACAACTGAGTTTGAAGCTTAAATGCAGAGAGGCCAAAAAGACAGGATGTTCAGCACAACCCTGAAAGGGAATAAAGTCACAGGAGGGTTGCTACTCAACCAAGACTTACCACACAGCTGCAGCAATCCAAACACACGGTGGCACTGGTGGAAGAACAGAAAATCGATAAAAGGAACACAACAAGAAGTCCAGCAAGACTCCCACAAATACACCAAACCAACCCTTCCCAAGTCAGAGAAGACAACATAATGGGGAAAATGACATTCTTTTTCACCAGTGGTGCTGAACTGGACCAGGTTGTAACACCCTTCCTATTTGTCAGCTTTCCATCACTATAAATACCTGAAACAACCCAACTTTATCATGGAAAGATATTAACTTGGGCAGTTTCTAAAGGTTTGAGAACAAGACTAGACCAACACCGGACTGAGGATGGTGGATGGCCAGGGTAGGATGTATATGCAGCAAGGATCACACTGAGTCGGGGTGGAGAAACTGTGCCACTTTCAGAAGTTCACAGCATTTTCAGAGCCACATACCCAGTGCCCATGAGCCTCCTGCTAGGCCCAGCCTCCTAGCCATAACTAGACTGCATTCCCCCAATCCTGGTTGCATTAATCCAAAATCCTGTTTAAGTATGGAAGCCAAATTACACCACATGCCCAAAAAACTAATCATAAACACATCAGAACTACAAGCAAAATATAACACTTTAACTCTTCCAAGCTGACAGAAAAAAACCTGGACCTTGGATTTGGTGATGACTTAAAAACATCAAAGGCACAATTATCAAAGGAATAATCAATCAGCTGGATTTAGTAAAAAATAAAGCTTCTGTCTGTGAGATACTGTGTAAGGAGAATGACAAGACAACCCCAAAGCTGGCATATTTTGAAAATACTTTTCTGATAAAGGACATTTACCTTAAATATACAAATAACACTTAAAATTCAATAATCTGGAAAACAATCCAATTTAAAAAATGGACAAAAGACCTGGACAGATCCTTAGCAACAATTATATAAAGAGTAGATGCGGGCCCGGCGTGATAGCATAATGGTTAAAGTTCTCGCCTTGTACATGCTGGGATCCCATATGGGCGCCAGTTCTAATCCCGGTAGCTCCACTTCCCATCCAGCTCCCTGCCTGTGGCCTGGGAAAGCAGTCAAGGACAGCCTAAAGCCTTGAGACCCTCCACCCACGTGGGAGACCCAGAAAGAAATTCCTGGCTCCTGGCCTCGGATCCACGCAGCACCAGCCGTTGCAGTCACTTGGGGAGTAAATCATCAGATGGAAGATCTTCCTTTGTCTCTCCTCTCTTTACATTTGCCTTTCCAATAAAATAAATAAATCTTTTTAAAATAAAGGAAAAAAAAAGAGTAGATGTTAAACACTATGTCATTAGGTAGCTGCAGATTAAAAGAACAATGAGGTGCCACTACAAGCTTCTCAGAATGGCCAAAATCCAGACCATTACAGCAACAAATGCTGGTGTGAGCGAGGAGCAAGAGGAACCCTCCTTCACTTTGGTGGGAGTACCAATGGTACGGCCGTACTGGAAGAGTGTGTGGCAGTCTTCTCTAAAATGGGACGCACACTTACCACAGGACCCTGCAATTGCATTCCTTGGTATTCACCCCAATGAAGAATAAGAATGCACACATACTTATAGCAGCTTTATTCATAATTAGCAAAACTTGGGAGCAACCCAAGATGTACACAGGTGCATGGATAAAATTATGGTACATCTAGACAATGGAATAATATCCTGTCCCAGAAGGAAGTGAGTTGTATCAAGCCATGAGAAATCCTGGAGGAAACTTAAATGTGTAACAAGACATGAGGGGGAAAAAAAAACCTGTCTGAAAAGGCTACAAACTATATGACTCCAACTATAGCACATTCTAGAAAAGGCAAAACAATGGAGACAGTGAGAAAGGCCAGTTTAGTGGGAGTGAGTGTTAGCAGGTGGAGCACAGCATCCTTAGGGCTATGACACTATTCTGTACGACACTACGATGGCATATATGTGGCATACACATAAATGTGTGTGTGTGTGAGCGCGCAAACCCATAGAACAAACACCTAATGGAAACGCACGGCGGGCCCCATGGTAACGTGTAGCACTGGAGTAGGGACACCAAGGAAGGTGGACAGTGCGTGAGAGGCAGGGGCGGATCTGGGAACTTGGGGTGTTTGGCTCAGTTCCGCTGTGACCCTTCACTTACAGGTGCTAAAGAAAAGCAACTAAATCCTGCAGCTGAAGGCAAGAGCCAACAGGAGACTCCTCTGGTTTGAACACTACTATTCTGTGCCAGAGTGGAAGGAGCGTGCTATTTCAGGATCTCACTGCAAAGCTTCCGAAGGAGACAGCTGGGCATATCTTGCTGGGCATGTTGCTGCCCGGCTGCTTAGTGCACACACAAAGCCTGGACAGAGAGATGTGATCTGAACCCAGAATCTATGCTTCCTGTGGGGTGGGATATTTACATTAGCAAGTGGAGCCATTCTCTTTACTGATAAAGACTGAAAAATCACATATTCCAAACAGCTTCATAAATTGCCACACACACACTAAATGTTCCTACTGAATGATTTAGAAGATATCTTAAGAACATCCCAGGTGTGAGAGAACTGCTTCTGACGCATGACCACACTCACCCCAGCACTGACAGGCAGCGGCCATGGCTCAGGCCCAAGACAAGCAGCTCCAAGCTGGGTCAGGCCACGTGCGAGTGGAGGAGCCCTAATGCAAATCCACAACTTCCTGTTCTGGGAGCAAACTGCCATGGGGAGGAAGTGAGGCAAGCTGTAAATACAGCCACCTACACCCAGGACATAACACAGCCAGCTGAGTGCCAGCACATGGGACAAAACTGCCAAGTCTCTCCTGGTTCACCATGTGACAGAAGAGCGGCAGCTCCCAGTGGGCAGAAGCTACTCCCATTGGGCATGTATGGCCCATGGGCCTGGTCAGAGCACTTCCTCTCATTTCCAGGTCCATGGAGGAAACAGCCTGCTACAATGCAACCAAACGTTAAAGCAGAACTTTATTAAAGTCCATGGATATAGTGTTTTACAGACAAAAAATGGAGAGTTCTCAGCCCTCCACCGATCCCCTCAGAGGGAACTGACTACGTGGCCCTCCCCCTGAAAGGATCCTTCCGCTGTTCCAGCGCCTGAGAAAGATGCGTTTAATGACACCACCTGGAGAACAACAATCCCTTGGGAATCCCCAAAACCTCTGCAGAGAGCATAAAGAGATGAGCAGAGAACCTTCTCCTGGGTGCGGCGCCTCCACAAAGGTGTAGTGCAAGAAAACAGGAAATGGCGGCTCTTGAGGAGTGTGTGTGCAAGCAGCAGTGGGCCTAGCTGCGGAGTGTGGCCAGGCGTGACTGCATGGCCTCCAGGGCCTCTTCCTCTTCCTCCTCGTCTTCAGATGCAGCCATTGCTCCTGGTGGCTCTGGCTCCGGAAGGGCGTCGGTCACCTTACTGGGTGCTTTACCCAGGGCCCCTGAGAGAGAGAGAGCAGACAGGCTGTCTTCAGGAGGAGTACCCCAATCTCTGCTAACTGGGCCACCCCAACAGGATCTGAGGGCAGACATGGGGTAGCAGGCCGACTGCTACAGTGGGGTTTGTTCACTGCGACAAACATGCTAACAGCATCCTTCTAGTGACACCAAAGTCACACCAACTATGGATCTTTCAGAATCTTGCTTCTCAGCCCCTAAGGTAAGCTCATGGGCCTTACAAAACTAACTTTGGATCTGTCTAAATAAATAATTTAATTATTGTTGGTTTGTTAATTCTAAAATAATAATCTAAGTAAATAAATCTAAATAAACTGTATTTAAATCTTCAGAAAATGTGTTCTTAATCACTCCTAACACCTTAAGTGGACAAAGAAAAAATAAATCTTGTTTTCTTATTAAAGTTCAGAAAATGCACAAGTTTATAAAACTTATTGATCATAAGAGACAACTTTATTCATCCTTTCACTTTCTTACAGACATTTTCTACACAAATGAGTTTAGTAACCAGGCTGTTTTCACATAATTATGAACATCTTCCTATGTCCGAGGAATATGTTCTTATATCCATTTATCACAATATAATATTCCACTAAAATGGACATAATACAACGGAGTTAACCAGTATTCAATTACTGGGCATTGAGCTTGTTTCAAACTTTTCAGTATTCTAAATGATGATTCTCCAGATACCCTAGCGCTAATTCCTTCAGCATATCTCATTATTTCATTAGCGTCAGCTCCCAGAAATTAACCTGCTAGGACAGGAGCTTTTGTTAGCCAACTGCCAAACTGCTTTCAAGAAAACCTGTTCCAACTAAAATTTCACAACATCAGTAATGAGAGAAATTGTCCCTGTGCAATTACGAAAGCTCCAGAAATTTAAAAACTCTATCTTTGTGTTTTCTTTTAACTATGATCACAAATATACTTACTTTTTCAAAAAATAATTTGTATACTCTAATGTTCAAATATAGAAGACAGGAGCCTAAAGAAAGACTTGTAGTGAACATAGCAATATAGAAAGAGGGGCAAAAAGGGATGAAATCAATGGTTATACCTGCTGTGATTTCAAACAGAATTCTGTCGATTTCCATTTCTGCTGCCTCCTCCATTTCTTCCTGGTCGTCCATGCTCTCAAAGGTGTCCTCCAACATTTCCTCTATGATCCCAGCCTGCACACACAACATGTCACTTCGTTCAGCTGCGACAGCTGTCTCTCTCAGAGAGCCCAGGACCCCAATCTAGATCAACCCCTGGTCTTCCCAAGTCCAGCCCACTCTTCCAGGCACTGACCAGGGGACAACTGGCCAAAGCAAAGCCAGGACGCCATATTCTTTGCCCAGCCAAGGCCCACAGGGAAACAGCTCTCTGCAGAGCTTCCCAAAGCAGCCCGGACCACGAGGGTAGCACTTGGAGAAAAACTTGCTGACAGGCACATGCATGCCCTTGAGCAGGTATGGAAGGCCCCTGCCCTAACACTGCAAACAGGATCCGGGACTGCAGGGGTTGAAATGTGTGAAAACTGGTTGGTGCCATGGCTGACACCACTGTGCTAACAAAGACAACAGGCTGGGAATCAGGAAAAGCCTCAGAATCCCCAGGGATGCCTGGGTTGCCACTGCTGGCCCAGGGTTATCTGCTGCTGGGCCTGCAAAGACTCATCAACTCGCCCACTCCTGAGAGAACAAAGGCACAGCAAAGTGGAGACCCTTCACCAAAATCCCTGTCCCTGGGGGCCTGCAGCAGTGAGCCAGGCCCCCCCCCCCCCGCCTGGCCCCACAGCAAGACTCTGAGGTCTTCCCACCTAGCAGGCTCCTCAGCTCTCAGGTAAGAGTACCGAGCATTCTGCGCTTCCAAAGCAAAGACTCAGAGCAGCATCTTTCATGTCAAGTCAGGGGCTGCCCAGAAGGCCGGGCAGACCATGTGCAAAAGGGGCTAGCTGGTTCTGGGGTGGGCAGAGGAAAACACAAGTTCAGGCTTTTGAGAAGCTGCCAGAAAAGTCAAACGAGTTCCTTGCTCATGAGAGCCTTGAGGTTCTAATCAATCAAGTCAAGGAGCTTCCAGAAGGAGCAGCTTGGGCCTGGCTCCTTTTTACCCAGTCCAGATCCAACTCTCACTGACCAGGCCAACAAAATCAAATCTAAAGCACCCCTCAACCCCGCTTTCAGACCACCAGGTGAAATTTCATGGCAGGCTCTAGCTGCTTCCCTATCCTGCCCATTCTCAGCTTCTTTCCTCCCAAGCAAAATGAACACACAAACAAGTTCACATTCATGGTCACCTGGGTGGTGCCCGCGGCCTGGCAAAATGGAAGTTACCTTAGTGCTGGGCTATGCTAATGATGACTCAGTAAACACTTGCTAGTTGGTTAAAAGAACCACCCAGAAGCCTCACTGCAACACACACAGTAGGGGCAAAAGCTGTCACCCACTCACTCAGTAACCCCTCATCGTCAGATTCCTGCCCTGTGACACATAAGACAGGAGGGAAGTGTGCGGATCTGGACTCCCACAGGGGCTGCACTCAGCTAGCCCAAGCCACTGTGGGCAAGCCTGCCCCTGAGTCTCTATGGCCCCGTACTTGGACATCACTGTGAAAGGGACTCCGATTCTACAAAGCACTTCCTTTGGATTTCGGTTACTGGGCGAGTTGTAATGAGCATGCCCATTGCTGACTAGCTCTGTGTAAATACTCAGCAGCACCCTGGGAGCAAGACATCCGAACACCATTTTAAGGGACACATTCTCCTTACCTCCTGCCTCCTGCCTCCAATTTCATTCCAAATACCTGGGTCCTGGGCTTTTGGCTTTTTTTTTTTTTCAATCCTTATTTTCATTTGAGACTGCCCCTCTTTCCCCACCTACCAGGTTCACGCCTCAAATATGTGCAATGGCCAGGGCAGCTCTAGTTCTATTTACTAAAGTTGCTTTTTCACGAATTTTCTTCCAGCCGCTCTGGCCCATGCTCCATAACCCTGTATACAATACAGGTGCACAGATGAAATTCCCCAAGGAGAAGGGAAACACTTTCTACACATGAATCCTACGCAAGAATCTGAGGTGTACTCATGGCAGCCAGGACACAGGTTAGAAACACAGAGAGCATCGGTACAGGGACCTCCCATCACTGCTTCCTCTAGAAGACGAGGTGACAAGGTCAGGCACCAGTGCTCCAACTGCAGCGCTGCACTGAGAGCTGAAGCCGCTCTAGGCAAGCTTAGCTGGTGGACTGAGGTCTCTTCCTTCTGTATAAGCAGGGGATACAAACATCCAGCTTCCCGGGGAGGGTGGGAGCCAGCTAGGAGAGCAGGTACAATGCACCATTGGCTGGGAGTGCTCAGCACCGAGGTCTTGCTCACCCAGTCCCTGTCCAAAGGCCACCAGAACAGGCAGGTCCCACCAGCCCTGACCCTAGCTTGTGTGCTTTCTGTCTGGTTCCCAACCTCGCCTCTTTTCAGTCTAAAACACAGGTCAGTGAATCACAGTCCAGTTCACACCTTATCTGGTGTGCTACTGTTTTTGTAAATAACAATTTACCTGTCATCTATGGCTGCTTTTATACTACATGAGTGGCTTCAGAAAGCAGATGTGTGGAGCAGAAAACACGTTTCTCATCCAGCCTTTTCCAGCAAAAGCACACCAATCCCCAGCAGCAGGTGGCAGGACCAGGGTTCCTTTTGAGCTCCTGCTGGAGCCTGCAAGCTCTGTTTAAATAGCTGCTCCCTGGTCCTCCCTCAGAGGTCTAACACACAAGTGTTTCCTTTAAGAAACATTCTCTGCCGCACTCAGGTGACAGAATTCCAACCCGCCTTAACAGCTGCTGGTCTGTCTTCAAGGTCATTTCCGGCAGCTGCAGTCCGCCTACTGCCCCCTGGCCCATCCCTAGCCCTTGCCACTTGCTGATTGGCAGGGACTCCTGAGTGCTCTGGAAGAGGAAGTAAGGCCTGCTCAGGTCACCTTCATCATCTCTTTGGACAGCTCCCTCATGGTGGCCTGGATTTCCGGGATCTTGACGAGGCTCTGCATGGCCCTCATCACCTCTGTGCTCTTCTGCAGGGAGCCAGCCACGCGCAGGACCGCTGAAAGGGAAAGGCTGCAGTCAGGCAGGCCCGAGCGGCAGGCGGGAACCCAGCAGACGGCCGAACATGCAGTCACACATGTGCCCTAAGGAGTCACATGATCAAGAGTGATCCTTCCAAACTGCAGGCTACCTGGGCTCCTACAGGTGCCAATTCTCCAAGCATGCACGACCGGCCGACCTGGAGAGGGAGCTAGAGGCCTGAGCTGACCTTTAGGGAATGACACCAGGTCACAATGACCATAATAACCGAGGACAAATCACAAATAGGAGGAACCTTGTATGGATCACACTGGCAAAGAGGTAGCCACAGGCTACCCATGCAGCTGCCCAAACACCAGCGCAGGGGCACAGGGTCTACTCTGTAAGAATCTGTGTCACTAGTCCCCCTGGAAAGCGAGAAGAACCAGGGTAAGACAACCAGTATGTGCAGATACATCAGGGGGCTACAGCTCCTCATAGAGAAAAACCTGTAGTTTGAGGTCATATACAAAAGAATATCTGCTTGATAAGAAGTTACAGCAGTAGCAGAGGAAAGATCTTTAACAGGTCCAAATAAAGGTCCAGACACTGTCCTAATCTATTTAGGAATCTCATGAGATGGAGACTCCTGGGAATTGTTTTACAACATGCCTGCTCCAGCCCTGGGGGGCCAAGGAAGCCAGGAGTCAACCCTGCATTCACAACTTTTTTTTAAAGATTTATTTATTTGTATTGAAACATCAGATATACAGATAGGAGGAGAAACAGTGGGTGCAGAATCCTAATCAAGGCTTTGGGCCAGCCTCGACTGCTTTCCCAGGGCACAAGCAGGGAGCTGGATGAGAAATGGGGCTGCTGGGATTAGAACCGGCGCCCATATGGGATTCTGGCATGTGCACCCACATGGGAGACCAGGGAGGAGCTACAGACTCCTGGTTTCAGATTGGCTGAGCTCTGATCCACTGCTGCTACCTGGGGAGTGAGCCAGCTGACAGAAGATTGTTTTTTCTCTTTTTCTCTGTAAATCTGCCTAATTAAAAAAAAAAAAAAAAACTTTAAAAAAGAAATGTACAAATACCCAAAGTAATCTACAGATTGAATGCAATCCCTATCACAGCCATATATGAAAAAATACTGATTGTCACTAAACATCAGGGAAAGGCAAATCAAAACCACAGTGAGAGGCCTGGCGTGATAACCTGGTGGCTAAATCCTCACTCTGCATGCGCTAGGATTTCATATGGGTGCTGGGAAAGCAGTCAAGAATGGCCCAAAGCCTTGGGATCCTGCACCCATGTGGGAGATCTGGAAGAAGTTCCTGGCTCCTGGCTTTGGATCGGCACAGCACCAACTGTTGTGGTCACTTGAGGAGTGAATCATCAGACGGAAGATCTTCCTTTCTGTCTCTCCTCCTCTCTGTACATCTGACTTTCCAGAAAAGTAAATAAATATTTAAACAAACAAACAACAACTGAGATTGGGCTTCCGGAGGTGGTGCAGTTTTGAGGGCTCCTCTGCTGCCTTCCAGAGGGAGCACATGCCAGCACCCACACCTTGGAAGTCCACGCCCCATGTGCGATCTCCATTTCTGCTCAGCACAGCACAATGACAGAAGCATGCATGCATGTGTGCACACATACACATACAAAGAAAAATGTTTTTCTTCAGTCCATAAGAAAAAAAAAGTATGGCAGATAAAAATTATTTCATAATTTTAAAAAAGAATGAGAAGTCACAACCTGCAAGAAGGTACCTGCAAAACACATCTGGTAAACATACATAGATAGATCAAACATAGATCAATTCTTAAAACTCAATAATAAGCAAGCAACCTGATTTTAAAAATGGCTCACAAAGCAGATACACAAATGGCAAATTAGCAAACAAGAAGACACTCAAGTTAGAATGCAAGGTAAAACAATAAAGTGCTATGAACAGACAAAAGCCAGATCCAATGCTGGCGGGGGGGGGGGGGGTGCAGCAACAGGAACTCTGCAGCCACTCTGGAAAACAGTTTGACCATTTTTTCCAAAACTAGCCATGGACTGACCATAATGTAGCAGGTATACTCCTTGGCATTTATACACATGAGTTAAAAGCTTGTTTAAAAAACCTGCATGTAGATGTTTTTAGCAACTTCATTCATGACAGCCAAATCGGAAGCAACCAAGATGTCCTTTAATAAGTGAAATGATAAATAAATTGGTTTTATTCACAAACTGGAATATTTTTAGTGCTAAAAATCAGCTGTCAAGTTACTGAAAGACAGGGAAGGAAACCGAGATGGCAGCTGAGTAAGGCAGCAATGTGCACAGCTCTTCCTGCACCAGACCTTCTTCCCAAGGCCCACGGTACCCAGGGTGAGAACACAGTGCCTTGTTTTAGCCTAGGAAAAGTCACACTGGAGGAAGGAGGACGCAAAGAGTTGCATGCAGTATGTCTCTCCAGCTTCTTGTTGTTGGGGAGGAGAATCCACACCATGCCTACTACATACAAATCCACGCCCAACAAGCCATCACGGCATTCCGCACTGCCAACCTCGTGAGGGCTGGTATGCACCCCAAAAGTTGTGCAGGATCAGAGGACTGTGAATCCCAACTGAGACCCAATTTAGCATGAGCCTGGTGGCCAAGAGGCAGCCTTTATCAACTTTCCCCAATCTCTGATCACACAGAAGGAACCACATGTCTGTGGCTTGGGACTCAGTCCAGGGTGGAATGGTAAAATTCAACACTGGACACACACTAGTAGCCGCTGCCCCAATGTCAGTGCCTGTGGGTGGGCAGAGTCTCTAGACTTGGCCTAGCACTGGGAAAAGGCCAGCATCCTGGGATGGGAGTGGGGGGTGAACTTGTTTTGGCACATGTTACTGCCAGCCTCATGCAGACCTGCTGTGTACCTTGGAGATGACACCAGGTCTGCCTGCTGTGAGAGCTAGCAGTGCCATGCGTCACATCAGACTGGGCAGCCTCTGTCACCCTTTCTTTAATCCTTGGGCAAACAGCAAGGAACCACAGCACTGTGCCAGCCAGGCTGGTAAAACCCACCATCAAGCACATCCTAACGGTTCTTATCTTCAGGCCAGTGCTTGTGGATGGAGTCCTGTGGCCCCAGCTGATGGGACCCACACTGTAGCGAGCATCACCAGGCGACTTAAGTGGTCCTGGGCTGTGAGTTTGCCTCAACCACACAGAGACCATCCTGCACTGTGCTCTGTACCATGCTGGTCTACTGGGCTGTGGGTTCTGGGCGTGCCCTGGCTGTGGAAAGGTTCGCAAGACAGACTATCTCTTCTTTTAATAACTTACTTATTTGAAACAGAGAGGGTGAAGAAGCGAGAGAACCTTCCAACTGCTAGTTTACCCCCTAAATTGCTACAACAGTCAGGGTCAAAACATAACATGGGTGGCAGGGGGCTCCAAGTATTTGAGCCTTTGGCTGCTGCTTTCCCAGACACATTGGCAGACAGCTGGATCGAAGTGCAGCACCAGAGACATCACCCATATGGGAGATGCAGAAAAAGTCCAGGCTCTTTTTTAAAAAAGATTTATTTTTATTGAAAACGCAGATATATAGAGAGGTGCAGAGACAGAGAGGAAAATTTCCCATCCAATGATTCACTCCCCAAGTGGCTACAATGGCTGAAGCTGAGCCAATCTGAAGCTAGGAAGCTGGAGCCTCTTCCATGTCTCCCACAAGGGTGCAGGGTCCCAAGCTTTGGGCCGTCCTCGACTGCTTTCCCAGGCCACAAGCAGGGAGCTGGATGGGAAGCAGGGCTGCTGGGATTAGAACCAGTGCCCATATGGGATCCCAGAGCATTCAAGGCGAGGACTTTAGCCGCTATCGTGCTTCCACCACTCCCCCCACCTTTTTTTTTTTTTTACAGACAACACACAATCATGTTCTCCAGGTAGAGAATCTAAGATTCTGCAAGCTGTAAGAGAAAAAAAAAAAAAGCATCCCGATTGACCTAACCAAGTGTTTCTCAGCACACCTCACAAGACAGGAAGGAATGGGGCAAAAAGTTTGAGTACTAAAGAAATGAAACTGCCAACCATGAATACCTCATCCGGCAAAGCTGTCCTTCAGATGTGACAGATATTCCCAGTCAAAACAGAAGAGATTGTATTACTACCAGACCCAATTCGAGAAATACTAATAATGGGAGTTATTCAAATTGAAAGAAAAGACACACTAACCAGGAAAAAAGAAAACATCAGAAGGTAGAAAATTCACTGGTAAGTTATGTCTAAAATTTCAGGAAACATGGGACATAAACCACAGCTTTAATATGAAACCTAAAAAGTAAAATAATAAAAAAAAAACTAGTGAGAACTACACTTACATGCTAAGAGACAGGCAATACTGAAAGGTAAAATGGCACATCAAAAACCCAATTTGTGGGGAAAAATGGAAAACAAGCATAGTGGTTTTTTTTAAGGTTTATGTATTTTTATTGCAAAGTCAGAAATATAGAGAGAGGAGGAGAGACAGAGAGGAAGATCTTCTGTCCAACAATTCCTCCACAAGTGACAACAGCTGGTGCTGCGCCAATCCAAAGCCAGGATCCAGGAACTTCCTCCAGGTCTCCCACATGGGTGCAGGGTCCCAAGGCTTTGGGCCATCCTTGACTGCTTTCCCAGGCCACAAGCAGGGTGCTTGACGGGAAGTGGGGCAGCCAGGACTGGAACCGGTACCCATATGGGATCATGGCACCTTCAAGGCAAGGACTTACCTACTGGGCTACCGTGCTGGGCCCATAGTGTTCTTTATTTGTTAGTTCTTATCTCCCCTTTTTGGGTTTCTTGCCCAATATTCATAATTAATGGTCAGCTTGCTTTCAAAGTAGATTGTCATTACCAAAATAAGTTTTTAAACAAGTTCACAGTAACTGTAAAGCAAAAATTTGTAATGGACTTACTAAGAATAAGAAAGAAATCAAAACACTACAAGGGGCTGGTGTTGTGTGATAGCACTTTAACTCACCACTGGATACACTGGCATCCTATACGAGTGCTG